AGGGAGGGAGGGACGGGAGGGAGGGGGGTAGGGGGGGAAGGGGAGGGGAGAGCAAGGGAGGATCTTGCAACCTCCACCCCTCTCCTTATCCACCCCCTGGGTTTACTGGGACTACCCCCTCGCTACCTAGTTGTACCAGTCTTAATAGTACCGTGCGCTGTACGGTCTATAATTATAATCGAAATCGAGCTTTTTCGGACAAGAGCATATCAAGGGCTCGTCCGTTGATATGCCCCACGATGATATCTTTAGAGGAGCCGGTTGCTTGTGCGTCTTCTTCCCATGAACTCGACACGGCCAAAGTTTCAAATTAATAAGGGCCATTTCACGAGGACTAAAGATTACCATCCATAGGCCGGTGCTCTACCCAGACCTCCCAACCTCTCTTCCCTCCATCTCGCTCATCGCTCCCGTCGCTACTCCTCGCTGCGTCTGCTCGTAGCTCACAGTCCGTCGCGCTCTCAACGCTCCTCTGATCTCTTTTGATAGATTCCTCCAACCTGCTCTCAAGTTGCCACCACCTCAGACACCACCTAGACGTACAACATGCAGGCCTGCCCGATGCCTCTGCTCCCCTCCCTCTTCCAATCTCAAAGCGCTTTTTGCCTGATCCAGCCTCAGAGCTTGACCAGCCAGAAGGACTTGCCGTCATCCTGCCCCTCTGACCATGAAGAGACCTCAGCATTGTTGGCTGAAGCGAACAAGACCTTGAATGCAAGGCCCACCCAATCCGAGAAGCTGACCCTGGCAGAGAAGCTCGAGATCATCCATTGCTACGAGACCAAGATCGTCTCACAGACTTGCTTGGCAAAGCGCTACGGCAAGAGCAGATCAGCGATATCAAAACTGTTGCAACCGAACAATGTGCGAAAGCTTAAAGAGCTCGCTGGGGCTGGGGTCACAACCAAGATCAAACGATGCTCTTCGGCTCATCATCCTGAGCTGGAGCGCAAGGCGCATGAGTTTTTCAAAACTGTTGGGAGAAGCGACACCGTCGGGAAGTTAATGCTTCGCATGTTTGCTGAGAAGACAGCATTCAGCCTCGGAATATCAGGTTTCGAAGCCAATTCAGGGTGGTGTTTCCGGTTCCTCAAGCGGCACGGCTTTGTCTCCTCCGCGGAAGTTTCGGATGAGAGCAGGTCGGAACCTCTGATCCAACAAGCGACAGAGTCTCATGCCACAACTCCCGACATGGGAGGCAAGTTCAGTGCGTTCAAAGCGGTAGGACATGCACCCCATCCAAAGCTTATCGTCCTCAGCACGGGGAAGTCAGAGCTACCTGTGCTGCCGGGCCTCTCAGCAATCCTGCCGCAAGTTGTCAATGTGCAACCAAGACCGTCGTAAACGAGAGCGGAAATGATCTTTCTTGGACATTTGAGAGCTGTACCTATTTAAATATGCAGAATCGACTTCATTATCTAACATCAGCCTTATCTTGAATGTTGAATGTGGAAGTGATTGGAGAGTTTACCAACTGTGCTTGGGAACATGTGGCGGGGAATAAGCTTCATATCCTAGCTCACAGCAGTAGTGTCATCGTCCCGTTCACGCGATCGGGCTTGACCTTCTCTGAGCATGTGTGTCCTAGTGAGCAATGTTGCATAGACCGAGAGACGGTAAACAACATGTTGCTTGTCGGTATTGTACATACGAATGCAGACAACGTAATGTATCAGGCACCCTCCCCCGGCCTTTCTGGAACTGTTGCTGTTTCTATATGTTGATTTCCCAAGATTGACCAGCATTCATGATTTACAACGAGCCCTCATAGCATTTTCTGCCTGCTTGGTAGGTATTGGCAGCTGCGTTGGTTTGGTGGTCGTACTTTACACGTACTTCAAGGTCAAGTCATACTTGTTGTAAGAGATCTCTTTTCGCGTTGCTGACAGTGGATAATGAACATGGAGAGTTTACTCAACCGCATATCAACATTCTCCATGCATGGCCCTAGTACAGTCCGTTGCCTCTTCCCCACCCGATGACTTCATCCATCCTCTGCCCCTGCCTGCTTGTTGGCTTCCAACAGAAAGCGCGCTGTAGCCGAGAAAGCGCGCTGTAGCTGAACATCATGTTACATGATATGAGAGCTCATGATTAACAGTCCAATGCTGGCAATCTCATGTAAACAACAAATTGTTCTGTTGAACTAGAACCTTGGTTAGAGTTTTCACGTAGTAACAACATTGTTTTCGCCTTCTTCTATGTGCAACAGTTTGCTTGTCTGCAGGTTGTCCTCTCAAAAGCTACTTTTCTGTCAGCTTTTCTGTCTTGTTTTGCAAGGCGAATGAATGAAAAGTAATTCCACTTCAGGTTTTTTTAGACTTCGTGGGGCATATCAACGGACGAGCCCTTGATATGCTCTTGTCCGAAAAAGCTCGATTTCGATTATAATTATAGACCGTACAGCGCACGGTACTATTAAGACTGGTACAACTAGGTAGCGAGGGGGTAGTCCCAGTAAACCCAGGGGGTGGATAAGGAGAGGGGTGGAGGCTTGCAAGATTCTTTCGCTCCCTCCCGCCAGTGCCATTCCTCCCTCCCTCCCTCCCTCCCTCCCTCCCTCCCTCCCCGCTGACATGTCTGGGCTGCCGGTGCTGCTGTCCTGCTCGCGACGAGCTCCCATGCTGACCTCTTCTCAGGCGATCTTGCTGCTCCTCCTCTCCATCAGCTGTCCTGCGCATGCTGCTGTCGTCTTGCAGTCTGGAATGAAGTACACAGTCGCTGAGACGGCTCAGCTTCAGATGGAAGGAGGTGCCTCGGATCTCAAAGCGACAGACCTCAAGATCTACTGGGGGTCGCTGGGAGCTTGGAGCGAAGGGAATGACATTCTTGCATCCGATACCGTCATCGAAGTTTATCTCCCGCGCTTTTCAGGAGGATCGAACATCTTCGGCGCATACAGATCTGGCAGCGCGGAGACAAGCGTCATGTGGATGAAGCAAGGTCAAGTCGTCACCATATCTGCGAGCGTGTCCAAGCCATGGGCAGCAGGTCTCTCTGTGTCAAGCCAGTCTTCGCTCGAGGCTGGTCCGGGGGTGGGAGGATGCTTTGGGATCACCCAGGACCTTTCGTCGAATGCTTTCGATCTCAAGCAGCTCCAAGCAAACTCCTTCTCCATGTGTCATTGGGACTCACAGAAAGAGACGCTCCGTCTCCTCATGTCCTCATCGCAGCCCATCACAGGCGTGTACATCAGCAAGGTCTCCTTGTATCAGAACTATGACGTCCACGGCAAGCAGAACGGGCTGGGCCCTCTCCCGCCCATCGGAGGGATAGACGAGCACTGGTATCAGCTAGCGAATGTGGCCGTGTATCAGGCATCTGGATCTTCACGAGGCTGTGCGGTGAGGGCGATCAGTGACTTTCCGTCGACGCCTTGTACGAGCGATCTCTTGGTGTATCAAGTTCCCTTCGACCAGTATCGCTCAGTGAGGTTCGGTACGGACCTGCCTCCCATCCCTACCAGAAAAGGCGCAGGAGCCGTCGGCACCGTAGCTCCTCCAGCCTTCGTCTATGCGGCAGCGTCAGGCAACAACGATGGGCCCAATCAAGCTGTCTGCATCACCGTCACTCTGATCAGCTCGGCCACCCTCTACTCGGCTGGCGTCAATCCCACCACCATCACTCTCACCGGACTGACGGGAGCCTCGACCACCAGTCAGCCCGTGCGGCTCTTTCAGAACAAGTGTCAATGCCAAGGCTCAAGCCCCGTGCAGGACTTGATGCCTGCGAGGTTTCGAACCTCCACCACCGCCAACACCGTCGGCTCAGCAGACTTCAAGGCTGACGGGACCCTGACCTTTCAGCTCATACCCGGGCATTACATCCAAGCTGGAGAGGTGCTGACCTTCTCCTTCAGTCTTGTGACGGGTGCCAACCCTCAGTCGTCTCGAGACCTCAAAGTGTCAATGTCCGGGCAGGCGTGTCTGACCAATGACTTCTGTACGTTACCCAAATCTGTAGCGATCACGGTTGCGCCGACCTCGTTTGACTCGTCGTCGAGGATCTTGGAGGTGGTGGGCAAGAAGCTGAGGGTGTCGATGTTTCAAAGCTCAAGCGACCCTGGCTCACTGACCAACCTCTTTGTGACGCTCCGGCCCAACTTCAACGTCGAGGTAGGGTCGGTCATCAGCATTCAGGGCCTCTGTGGCTCGCAGAGCAACTCAGCCTATGTCTCTCTAGTCAGCAACAGGCTCAACGGCGGGACGCCGCTGACCGACACATGTACTGGAAACCCGACCGAGGTCGACCTCGCGGACTACTGGCCAGGCTCAAGGCTGGACTGGAGTGGCGGGGGACCTCTCAAGATCACTGTGGCGAGCAGCTTGAGTCTCGTTGCTCGCGGTACTTACGCTCTGTCATGGACTTGGCGGAACCTGGACTTGGCTCACCCGGCGTGCTCGATGACTGTCAGTATGCAGAAAGGAGGAGACGTGGTGAGCGCGGAGGCTGTGGAGAACATCGGCAACACAGTCGGTACGGTGCTGAGTCCTGGGTTTATCAAGTACAAGATCGGACAATCGACTACCCGTCCTGACGTTGCCAACTACATCTGCGTGACGCTGAGAAGCAACTTTCGTGTCTCCACGCTCTCCAACACCCAAGGTCAGAACAACCTGGCCCAGATTACTATCTCAGGCCTACAGGGATCTCAAACGACAACAGCGCTGTTCGTGAAGGCTTGTCCGTCATACGACTGGAGCTTGATGCAGCTACAGCCCGAGTCTGATCCGCCAACAGCTCACTTCATCGACCAGATCACGGGAGGTACACTCCATCATACGACAAGCTGGTCGTCTGGATCAGCCGTCCTGACCGTCAACCAGGACGATGCTGCGAATCAGACGTACTACTCGATCCCTCAGCAGCAGGACATTGTGTTCGCTCTCAGGCTGAAGAACCCCAAGGTGTCAAACCCTTGTCAATCAGTGACCATGAGCTTCTCTGGTGTTGGCCCTGGCAACCGCTTGGTCACGCAAACGGTCAACATGGTGCAGAACCGTGTCGATAGAGCCCTCGAAGACGGCGAGACAGACGGAGACGTGTGCGTGCTCAAGACGTACGATCACAGCTTCCTGACTCGAGTCATCGCCCAGTCAACCTCGGTCGTGCAGGAGAAGAACGTCATTACCGTCACCTTGAGGTCTAACATGGACCTGTTGAGCTCCGTCTACAGTCCTCAGATCACCATCTCTGGTCTCACAGGAGCAGACACAGCCGTGACGTCCTTGTCTGCTGCTGCCATCACAGACCAGTACTTCCCCAACATCCAGAAGTCAAGCTGGGATAAAGCTCGAGGAGAGCTTGTAGTCACCCTTGCTCCAGGAGCTTGCCAGCTGCCTGTCAAGGGTCGACCGTCTAATTGCATGCATGCTGGCTGGACGTATGCATGGAGTTACACCTTGACGAATGGCGTGACGGAGCAGGCCAGCCCTTCTGTCTCCGTGTCATGTCAGTTTGCTGAGAACAAGCTGTCGAGCCCACAGCTCATGGCTTCGCCGATGCGCAAAGACTTGCACGCTCTCTACTTGACGAGGCAGCTGCTCAACAAGTATGACATCGGGCAGTTGAGTCCGGCTCCTGGAGCTGTCAACCCTGTTTGCATTACCTTGAGACCCAGCAAGTCTATCAATGCGCCGACGACCTTCACTCTGACGGGCTTGGACATGTTCTCTTCCGGTACCAAAGTAGCCTTGTACGATGAGTATGGGGTATCGCCTCTTACCAGCGGGCTGTTCCAGACAGTTGGGGCTAGCCCGCAAGACAACTACGCGACGTATGACAAGTCAACGATACAGTTTCAGCTGGGCCCGTCACAGTCGCTGCAGCAGAGCTCCAAGTACAAGTTTTGTTTCCAGCTCACCAACGTCAAGACAGGACAAGCGACCTGCCCTCAGGTCTCGCTGACAGTAGATTCACCGTCTGCACCTGCCGTGTACCGAGGAGCTCAGTCGTATCTCTGCAACAATGACGTGACCAGGAAGGTAGCCGGCTACACGTCTGAGCCGTCAGGGTGTGCGGGCTACATCTCAGATCGCAAGTTCATATCGTCCAACATCAGGTCGGGATCGAATGTGACAGGCAGCACAGTCTGGTTGACGATGGAGCTACAGCCTAACTATCCTCTCGCCTCGGGTCAGACTATCACAGTCGGATCGTTCATCAGCATGAAGAACGCTGGATCATCGGACATCCCATGTACGATAGCCAGGAACGGGCAGGTTGTCAATGCCGCTACCAACAAGCATCGCGCCAAGGGGATAGCGCCTCCGGCTGTGTTCAACAGCGTATGCAAGTACCTCGACAACACGATACAGATCTCGTACACCGGGGCGTCAACGCAGTACTCATCTTCCGTCTACGACCCGTTCTACAACGTCAATGCTCGCCGATCCAAGGGCCTGTACAAGGTGGAGGTCACAGCGGGAGGGTCGGGGTATCAGTCTGCTAATGTGATCTTATGCGACGTTACGCCTGGAGCTGAGTTCTGGACGAAGCCGACATGCACAGCTGCTGGGGTAGTGTTTGCTGCCGGCAGCTCTGCCTCAGCAGCCGCGACGGTGATCTCCGGTACCGTGACGTCCATCAGCCTGACAGCGCCTGGCTCAGGCTACACGATGCGTCCTCAAGTCTTGATCGTCGACCCCTCGGGCTCCGGGAGCGGCGCGCAAGCAGAAGCGTTCGTCTACGATCACTCCATCTACACAGTCCAGCTGCAGCTGGTCAACCAGGGCACTGCCGCCAGCGCTCAAGCTCTGACGGTCACGTCGGGCTCATCATTTGTGCCTGCGACGCTAGACAGTGGTTTTGAGGTCCGAGCAAGGTCCAGCATGCAGCTCCAGGAGCAGCCCAGCAGAGATGTCGTGTTCACGGTCACTCCCGAGCACAACATCTACGAAGGCGACATGCTCCTCGTCAACCTGCCTGCCTACGACGTTGTCACGGGTCCCATCTTCGGCGTGACGTCGTCGCCCAACCCGGCCTTCACCACCTTCACCACGCAGCTGGAGTGGGAGCTCAACTACTACCAGGAAGATCGCGCTCGAGCATACATCAGCAACGGCTGGGTGGCGGACGGGAACAGGCATCGGTCAGGAGACGGAGACGTGGACGGCTTGTTTGTGCTGTCGCGGGATGACGATGGCTACAACAAGAACAAGGACTTGTGCTGGAGCCGCGTGTCCTGCCCGTGGAGCCTTCCGGACAGCGACATCACCTTCGGGGGTCCATCGAAGACGCTGGTGCTGACCAAGGTGACCAACGGAGCCTCGTCATCTCTAGGGTACACACAGGACATCTGCTACAGGAACACCAGCGTCAACCTCCTTCAACCGTCGGACTATGTCGGCATGCAGCTCAAGTGCCGCAACAATCAGCACACGGTGACAGCCGGCGGTCAGGTCACAAGCGTGCGAGTGCGGCACGGGGGCCTTGTGGTCATCAACGGGAGATACTCGGAGAGCTCGGGAGTATCAGGAGCCGCGCCGACTTTTGTGGCATCTGGTGCGACCGATCTGGCGACGGGGACGCTGCTGTACCAGGTGGTGGGAGTCCAGTACGTGTCAGGCAGCTTGTTGGCAGCAGGCGACACGATCGTCTTCGATTCTACGTACCAAGTCCTGCCGGCGAATGCTACCATCTCTTCTCTCTACAGCACCAGCCCAGCTGTGCATGTCACTGCCCCAGGGCTGTACTCCGGATATCCTTATGCGACCGTGTCTGGGAAGAACACCCAGCTGCGAGTGCTTGTCTCTGTGGCGAGTGCCAGCCTGACGTCTCAAGGCAGCGGATACACGTCCATCCCCACCATCACCACCTCGCTCAAGCCAAGTGTCGGCCTGCCCTCGACAGTCCAGCAGCTTGAGCTTCCAGTGTTTGACGTCTCCTTGACCAACGTGACGAGCACCGTTGTCACCCAGTCTATCCTCGACTACAACCCAGCTAGACAGTGCTTCGTGGTGGCTGAAGAGTTTCCGACTTCCTTCTTGAGCGACTGTCAGGTCGTGCCCAAGGAGCAGGTCGGTCGGTACACCGGCATGACAGCGATGATCGGGTCCAGCGAGTACGTCATCAAGCAGGGAGCAGGTGGCGTCTACTGGGTGGCAGACCTCAAGGGCAACAAGCCCAGGAGCATCGACCTGGCCAACAAGCCCTACACCATCTACACGCAGCTGCAGCTGCAGGTGGCGAAGGGCAAGTGGATCCGACAGGGCGAGAGCGTCAGCATCAGCATCCCCGGCTACCGGTTCAAGTCGGTCCCTAGCGACCCCAACGCGTTCGTCACTCCCTCTACGGATGACGCCTCCAAGACCATCCGAGAGAGGACGAGGTTTCAGTTCGCGACGCCCGTCAGCTTTCGCAACGTCGGGCTAGCGGGCTCTGCTGCTTCGCGGATGCTTGTGCTCGGCGGTGCCATGTCGTCAGGCGACACCTGCACCATCCAGGGAAGCGACATCGAGAGACCCCAGGCGTTCGACGGGGTGACGGTCAACCATGCTGAGACCATGACAAGCGTCGGAGGGAGCGGGCCTGTGTTTGCTCCTCCTTCTACATGGGGCTCGGGCTATCTCCGACCCGGGAGGTTCTACGGCACCTGCACCTCTGGCAGGCGCTTGTCGGGCGTGTTCATGCTCGAGGGGCAGAGGTCAGGCATCGAGCGGATCGAGATCGTGACTCCAGGAACAAGCTGCAGCGCCAACGTCCAGGTCACCATCTCCAGTCCCGACAAGGACGGGGTGACTGATGGGCTGACCAACACCCCGGTCTGTCCGTCCGACAGCTCTCTATGCTCTCAGGCTACGGCAGTCGCGACTGTCAGCGGAGGGTCCATCACCAGCATCTCCCTCACCAGCGCGGGCAGAGGGTACTTCTTCCCGCCTACCGTGACGCTTACGAACCCCAGCTCCAACACGCCTTGTGACGCCTTTGCCATAGCGCACTTGTCTCACAACTTCACCTCTCGTCTGCGGGTGACAGCTGACTCCAACCTGATGATGTACCACCCCCAGCGAGATCACTTCGACTCCCTTACTGGCCTGCACTCGACCGTCTTCCCCGCGGTCGCTCTGTACAAGCGATACGATGCGAGGAAGTCCAACGCTGAGGTTGGAACAGGATACGTGGCTGCGATAGTCGTGACGTCTCTACCGCCGTCGTCTTGCACAGGACCCATAACCATCGAGCCTCCGCCCTCAGGCAGGACCGCGAGGGCTCAAACAGCTGCCAACGGCGGCGTCACCTCGATCGAGGTCATCGACGGGGGGTCCGGGTACGAGTATCCGCCAGCTGTGACCCTGCCGTGCACAGACGGCAGCGCCCGGGCGATCCTAGGCTTCGTGACCTCAGACGTTCACATGGCCGGCTCGAGAGCCTCTTCGTACACTGGCATGCAGTCGGCGCTGCTGACGTCATCGTCGAAGGCTCCCGCCTTCCGCTCTACCATGGACTCGCCGGTGGTGGTCGGCTTCAACAAGGCTTGCAGCACTGCAGTCACGCAGACGATGCTGAGGGCAGGCGGCTCGTGGAACAGCTCTCGAGTCACGGCAGTGACGGTCCCGCAGCAGGGGGTGTCGGGGTTTGCGTTCGGGTTCACAAGCGTCAAGATAAGCCCGTCAGCTATCAACGCCAACGGTCTGGTCGACGCTCATGCCGACGCCGTGGCGGTCCCTACCTGGTCGTTTCCTGTCTCGGGGTCGAGGCTGGTCAACGGGGAGCTTGGCGTAGTGCACTACAACGGGCCTACGACCGTGACTAATCTCTTCAGCTGCGATGGGTCGGTGCTGGTGTTCAGCTCTCCGCAGCGGCCAGGAGGGCAGGCGCTCAAGATCAAAGTCTCCCAAGCTGCGGGCGCGAGCCTTCCGAGCTACGAGATCGTACAGCAGGGTCAAGGGTACGCCAATATCCCCATCGTTGTCGACGTGGAGTTTAGCGTCGGAGGGGCGGTCAAGAGCTACCGACAAGACTTTGCGGACCTGAGCAGCAGCCAGCAGACGCTCTGCAAGCCATCCTTCTTCTCGCTCAACACGGCGTACCAGGGCACCAACGTCTACTCGGGCTTCGTCATAGCCTCAGGCACTGCGGCACAGCAGACAGGCCTGACTCTCGATGGAGCTCTCATCACCCACGAGGGATACGGATACCAGAGCTCGGGCTCCGGACCCAACGCGACCTTCAGCTGCAGCGGATGCTCCAGCAGCGCCTGTGCTGACAAGAACGCCAACTCCATCGCCAACCAGGTGTGCACTGCCTCAGAGCTTCAGGTGGAGGCGACGGTGAGCGGAGAGTGCTCGGGCTCGTGCGAGCAGTCGGTAGCGACCAGCGCCTTCTTCTCGCCCAGCAACCGCGACGGGCTGCAAGTCTGCTCGCCGGCGGACGGAGCGGCAGGAGACTACAGGACGCGCAAGACGCTGCAGATGCGCGTGTCGAGCGGGCCGTCGGCGTACTCCTCCAGCAACGTCTACACGGCAAGACGCAGCCAGGGCTTCCAAGGCCCGCGAGGCTCCTTGATCTTCAAGATCACAGCCAACGAGGCGTTCGCGTCCGCCTCGCTCTGTCAGCCCCCGCGCGTCCTCGTGGAGCCTCCTCCCTCAGGTGGAGTGCAGGCGGAGGTCTTGCTCGACTACATCGACACCAGCTCGGACCCCTACACCAACGGCCCGTCTGCGAGCTCGACAGCAGCCAGCAAGGGCTTCGCTGCCGACGCTGCTCCCTACCAGTACGTGCTCAAAGTCATCAACGCAGGATCCGGCTACTTGACCGCTCCGAATATCAAGCTCGATTTTTCGTCCGGGTCGCTGCCGGCATGCCCAGCTCCCACTCTTGGCGCTTACCCGAGAAGTGGGATGGTCGCGTCTCGGGTCGAGCTCGTGAGGAACATCTCGCTGCCAGAGCTCAACCAGGGGGCCGCAAAAGTCCAGCCGACTTGCAGCAGCGGGTCGTTTGTTGTCAAGTCTCTCTGCCCGGGCTCCAAACTCTGCACAAGCGCCTACTCGCAAGCAAAGCTCAACCCGCTGCCTTCCTGCTCCGGCTCCTCGCAGTGCAGCGCATGTGCTACGTTCCCTTGCCCCGCCCATACCTGCGCGGCCGACAACTGTCCCTCCTACCTGTCGACAGTGCTTGATGCCTCGCTGTCGAGCGTGGTCGCTGATGAGGCGCTGGCAGCCATCGGGTGGGATGCTCGGACCCAGCAGCCAGTCCTGCTCAACGCGGGCTTTGGCTTCTCTCCCAGCACGCCTAACCCGCTGAAGCTCGAGTTTCCATCGGATGCAGGACAAGCGTATCCGTGCGCGGAGATTCTACTCTACTTCACCGACAGCCCCAGCTCAGATGCCCTTCAGCCGGGCCCTCTCTACTGGCCGGGCGACTTGTCCTTCGATCAGAGCTCTGTCCGCAACCTGGCGGGCCAGGTGACCGGCGTGGACTATCTGCTCAGACCCGGCTTCATCAACGCAGTCTACGGCTCGTTCAGCAACTTCCCTGTCACGACTCTTGTGGCTCTCAGAGACCAGGCGGCTCGTCGGCTCCTGCAGAGCTCCAGGTCGGCTGTGCTGGAGGTGCAGTCAGTGTCGGGCTTTCAGGTGGGCGACTACGTGCGGCTTGTGGATGAAGTCCTGCTCGTGGACGCGATCAGCGTCCAGCAGAGCACTCTCACGGTCACTCGAGGCGCGCTCAACTCCAGCATAGCCTCGACCTTCGCCGCAGGCACCGTTGTCAGGACCTTCAACCCGGGCTCCGTGCTGCTCAAGAGCGTCGCAAGGGACGCGACCAGCATTGAGGTGTCAAACGCCGCCAAGTTCACGTCGGGCAGATACATCCAGGTAGAGAAGGAGGTTATGTACGTCACTGCCGTAGGAGCCTCGTCGCTGACTGTGCTTCGAGGACAAGAGGGGACGATCGCAGTCAGTCATGCCGCATTCAAGGCGGTGGGGTACGTGCGACTGTCTCAGAAGTATCCGATCGTGCTGGAGGAAGCCGTGACGGCGGATCAAACCTCGTTGACTGTATCGGACGCGAGCCTGTTGTTTGCGGGGGCCTTCATCCAGGTGCTGGGCGAGATCATGGCAGTGACTTCGATATCCGGCGACACACTTACCGTCCAGCGAGCCCAGCTAGGAACATCTGCGTCATCGCACCCGACGGGAGTGCTGGTGAAGCTGACAACTGGGGCGAGCCTGGGGCGGTCAATCTACAGGTCAAACATGGTTCTGCTGGCTACGATCAGCTTTAGCGACACTGTTCTACGTTTGAAGGACCCAGTGAAGGACACGCAGTCGTCAGGCTTTCAGCCAGGCGACTACCTGCGGGTATTTGATTATTATGATTTGTTTGATGAGGCGATGTTGGTATTGAGCGCTGAGACGGCTACGGTATCGGGGTATCTCTACCAGAACCTGACGGTCCAAAGAGCTCAGTTTCAGTCAAATCCAGGCAAATTTGTTTTCTACGAAGGGATCTCAGTGAACTATCTATTCAGCCCACGAGTCCTGGAGCAGGAAATCGATAAGACGGCAACCATCGCGAACTTCTCAAACACTTACGGACTGCAAGCCGGAGATCTGCTGTGGGCGTTTCCAGGTTGGGATAATGATGTGTACTTCGAGGTGATGGAGTATCAGTCGGACGGCAGTGTACGTCGAGGAATGATCCCTGACTATCGGGGTAGTTCACAGGCGACCAGCGTGTTAGCAGGAGCGCTGGTGCATACCATTGCAAAGCCTGCTTACTTGAAGTATCCTCCAACCTGTAAAGTGACTAAAAGGTTTTGTACCAGCCCATGTGAGGTGCCCTTATCTAGTGTATCAGACTTTGCAGTTGGTGACATTGTGAGCGATGGCTATGCAGCTTTCGAAGTCAAAGCTATCAACACTACAGACAGCAAAATCACGGCAACCAAGGTTTTTGCACCAAACGAGGATTTGAATCTAAATTTTAACCATCGATTTACGAAGGTCGAGGGTCTGAGGCTCCTCAACTCGACTGTCTCACTGTCAGATACTCTGGATACCTACAGCATCACCTTGACCACTCAAGTGTCAGACTTCTACTCCCCGGGTGACCTCGTGAGAATCGGCATGGCTGACTTGGACAAGTGGGGATTACCTTATTACAAGAATGGTTTGTTCCGAGTCACAGCTGTCGGAGATTACTCCATGGACGTCATCTCTTTCAGTTGCTCCAGATTCGCTTGCCAAACCACATTCAAACAAGGCAAAGCAATCTTATTCAAGTACGAGAAGTTTGACGTCCTCGACGGTGACGCGTTATTTCCTGGTGACAGCGTCATGTTGTCGGGGGGCGGTTATGGCGGGACAGCACAAGTCATCTCGTCCTCTCAGAACGAGGTACGCCTCAAGTTCACCTCAGGAGAATATGGCACAGAACGTGATGATTCGTGGATTCGAGACGCACATTTCACTTATCAGCTGCTGCCTGTCTCCAAGAAGAGCTTCGCCAGGTCCAAGCTCGCTCTGGACATCAACTCGACCGTAACGCGCGTCATCCTCTTCGACGCCTCCGGGTTCCGAGCCGGCGACAGCATCGTCGTCGACGACGAGGTCATGACCATAGACAACCTCAACGGCAACCTCCTCCAAGTCTCTCGAGCTCAAGCAGGCACCGCTGCTGCCCCTCATAAGCTCGCAGCATCAGTCACATGGACTGCTCCCGTAGCCAAGACGTCCTCGCCAGTCTCTGCCGTTACTCCTATGACTCGGCGCGACCAGCACCTGAGGTACATCGCACAGCAGGGCTCAATCGCCCTTCCCAGCTCGATCCTGCAGGCCTCCACCAGCTACCAAGACGTCTGGGCACAGCTCAACGAGGAGATCATCTTGATCCGGCAGCCCGCCTCAGGCACCGTCCCGGTGGATGATCGCGGGCTGAGAGGAACGTCGGCGGCTGCTCACGTGACCAACACGCCCTACAACATCCCCAACGCGGTCTTCTCCTGGCAGCTCAACGTCAGGTCAAGTCTGCTGGGCTCGTCGGGCTTCTCAGCTCTGCCTGTGTACAGCATGAACGCGGCTGGAGTGATCGCAGTGTCTGGCGTCAACGTGCTGTCTGGAGGAGCCGGAGTGACTAGCCGGCCGACCTTCCAGCTGTGCCTCAACAGGCTCATCGACGGCGACGCCCAAGGACAGGCGGTCGGAGGAGCTGCCTACTCCTACCGCCCTCTCGTCCAGCAGACTTACCTCGGGGTGGACCTGACGGACAAGTTCACCAAGAGACTCATCAGGCCGACTGTGACCTACCCCGTGACGTACCAGCCTTGGAGGTTCCCAGCAGACCCTCTCTACTTCCAGGACAGGATGGACGGGTATGACCCGAGCTCAGACAGCTCCCTGCTGTCTCCTACCAACGGCTCCAACGCCATCAACGCCAGCTCTCCGATCCCTCATGAGCCAGGCTCGCCCGTGTTCGTGCTTGACTCCTTCGGCCAGATGCTCGGCGATCAGGCTGTACCCCAGCAGAGCCTGTCGGTGTCAGACGGCGGCCCGTACTCATACTCCGTCACCAGCCGACCGTCCGTGCTGGACTCTACCTGGAGCAGCCCGGCCCTGCTCATCGTGTCGACGTCGTCAGCTACTACAGCCGACATGTACCTCAACGACACCATTGCGGGCTCCCACTCCAACGGTCAGAAGACCGCTCTGCTGTCTGCCAGCAGCAGGATGTTTGCATGGAAGACAGACCCGCGCAAGCTTGCTGTGCTCGTCGGGGCCTCAGCAGCAGCGTCCACAATAGCGGTTGCAAGCTCAGCAGCAGCGTCCACGCCAGCGAACGCGAGCTCATCGACGACTCCAGCAGGAGGTCAGAACATCGGAGCTATCATCGGAGGCGTCATCGGGGGCGTGGTAGGAGCAGCTCTACTCGGCCTGCTCACCTACAAGCTCATCACGCCCAAGGCCGTCGGCGAGAAAGTGCATCCTTCTTTGCCTCCTACGTTGGCTCCACCTGCTTCTCTTCCTCTTCCCCTCCCAGAGCCTTCGCCTTGCTAGGTGAAGGACGCTACGCCCGCCGACGTGTCTCTAGTCTTCAGGGAATCTTGCTGCCCGCACTCACTTCAGTTGCCCTGCTGATGCTGCTGTTGTCCCGCAGTCTGGGATGAAGTACACGAGCACTAATTCGACCTCTTCTCTGTCAAGCATTCTCTCTCGCTGGAACGACAGATCTTTGACTTACGTTCACGTCATAGGGTTTAGGGTTTAGGGTTTAGGGTTTAGGGCAGAATGATGTTGGTCACATGCCATCCTTATGAGGAATGGACAAGAGATGTTACCAGCTCTCTCCTGCTGCCTCGAACTGCCGGTCGGGGTGTGCTGGGTCAGACTTGAGTACCTTCTAATGACAGAGCATATGTACCTCGGGCTAGAATAAAGCAAGTAACCATGATCTTCAAACCTCCGTCAATTGACCAGTCCACCCTGGCAGACACACAGTCAGTGACGATATCGCCTATGCTGATGTCCTTATGATCTTAGGAGAAGCGCACTTATTTGTCAAAGTTACCCCGCTACTTGCTCGATTACTCATCAGGGCTTCAATCTTTGCTTCATTTCTCCAAAGACTTTCGAACAATGCTTACATAGGCCACGAGGATTGCATCCGGATCACTAGACCTCTGTAACATCGACACCCTCAGCCTGTTGCCGCACGAGGACGCTGGTCGAAGCAACGAATGGAATCTCGCCATTTGACGTACATGCCGCCTTGACTTCGAAAGTTGATAGTTGCTGTTGACCGGAATCTGGCAGGTACCAACGCAGTCTTGAGAGTGTTGCATTGCCAAAGAGCCTGATCATGATGCTCAGATGGCGTTGTCTAACCAGTCAGTCGAGATAGATCAGTCGAGATAGATCAGTCAAGATACATCAGTCGAGATACATCAGTCGAGATAGATCAGTCGAGATACATCAGTCGAGATAGATCATTCATTTTTGTTGTCGGTCGGATTTATTGACTCAAGTAGGTTGTAGCCCAGCGGTTCAAAGGCCAGCTCAGCTTGTTATGTTTTCGTTACGGAGTAGGAACAAGAGAAGATAGAGAATCAGAGGATACAAGTCTCTATGTTTACTTGACGAATCGTCATTATCTTCATGTGAGCTATTAGAACGCTAGAAGTAAATCACCCTCAAACAACACGCTTGCTGCTCTCGTAAAGGAGACCAAACGCTGATCACGCGTTCGTTTAAACATAATTATCCAATTCTCTTATTTCCATTTCTCATGTAGAAGGAAAGACATGTGCATGGTTTACTGCATGGTTTACACGGTAACTTTCTTGAAGGAGTTGCTACACCTCCCTTGCATTCTTGTTTTCCCTTGCATTCTTGTTTCAATCGTTGTTGAGTAGCGTTTCTGTTTCCTACGGGATCGATGAATTGGATGTAAAAATCTCTTGTAGACCCAGCCGGGTAGATCCAAACAAAGTATGGAGCCAACCTGTGCATGCTCGAGCACCTTGCAAAGCATCTTCTCCTCCGCTGATTCATTCTAGAATCTGTTGAATCCTCTCCAGCTGAGCATGAACCCCTGGGGCTGTTTCTTGGTTCGTGAAAAGGATGTTTTCCCATACGAGACACTCAGTCTGAGCAAATACAAGAGAACATCAAACAGATAAGATAAAGAAGCAAATGCTTCGTTTCTTCTGCTCGAGTTCATGGCATACAAACAACGGACGATCCCCTGCTTCTCCTCAGAGGACAGAGCTGTAGCTTCACTACGCTACCAAGACAACGCCGCCTGTATCAAACTCAGCGAGAATCCCGTCAGCATAGCCGATCGAAGCATGTTAAGCGAAGAATTCACTTCATACCAGAGTGCGTTGCAAACAAGCAGATTTCCTTGGAAGCAATTGACACGAATGGGCAAGTTGCTGATATCTTCACAGAACCTCTGCCCACTGGTCAGTTCCTGACCTCAAGAGGTCAACTGTTGAACTTCCCAGAAGCAAAGCGCTATCAGAGGAAAAAGAGAAAGTGATTTCATGCGTCTCAAACTTGTCTATGTTCTCTTGAACAGCAAGACACATTCGGAAGATGCTGTACACCTCGGGATCTCATGGGTATCAAGAAGTAGCAAAGCACATGCTGCACAAGACGACACACCTCAAATATGTTTGAACGCAATTCCTATCATGCATCTTAAAATGCTGTAAAGGGAACGTAAGAACATGAGTCGACGTGTAATGCTCACTGAAAGGCATATGAATGCTTTTATCAGCCAGGAACCTCAATCCTAAGTGTTGCCTCGCATAATGTTACGTATAAAATGCTAGAATCGACAAGTATAATATAAGAGTACGAACATCCAGTTCGCGGTCGCAGACGCATCGTTGTTCAAGGCAGGAGACCTGATCTTGATTGACGCGGAGATCTTCAAGGTCGGTCAAGTCACGGGCAACTCGATCACAGTGAGTGAGAGGGCACTGGGAGGGACGACAGCAGCACAACATCTACCGGGAGCAAGTGTGGTGCTCTTCTATCCCGGTACGGCACTGGAGAAGGCCATCCCCGCGTCTACCGCAGGAGCGCTGGAAACGGTTTCCGTTGCGTCAGTTTCAGGCTTTAAGGTCGGACATACGATCGCCATCAACGACGAGTTCATGTTTGTAGCGAGTGTGGACGTGACCAACAAGCAGCTGGGCGTGTACAGAGGCTACTCTCAGTCTGCCGGGACGAAGACACCTGCTCAAGCTGCGGGCTCACTCGTCGGGCTGTACAACCCCACGACAGCAGTCGCAAGAATCAAGGCAGCCGTGACGGCAGCAGACACGTCGATCACTGTCTTCACGACGAGAGGCTTCACGGCCAACATGTACATCCAGATCGACGAGGAGATCATGAAGATCACAAGCTTGACCTCCACGTCGTTCACCGTCCTGCGAGGTCAGGCGCAAACGACAGCGGCAGCGCACGTGGTCGGGGCTGAGTACCGGTCTTTGACCCTTGAGACGGTGACTCTGCTGCCGACAGCCCTGGCATCGCCACTGGCAAAGGATGATACGTCGATGACCGTGATCTCTTTTGAGGGCATGAAAGTTGGACTTTACATGCACATGTACGATTATTCGTACGATGATGGTTCCAATTATTTTCATGAGATCGTTCAGATCACATCTATAACCGGCACGACTGTGGGCATAGAAAGAGGTCTCTTTGGAACGACAGTTTCGATACGGGATCCCTGGCCTGCTCGTACCGTTGTGTCGATCGCGACATCTGTGTTTAAATTGACATCAGATTTGACTAAATGTACTTTACCTTGCAGTAGCACGATAGAATCATCACCCTCATACCCCTTGGACACAACAAGCCTGGGCCTTGCGATCGGCGACTACTTGACATTGTTTTTTGATTGGTATGAAATTCTCAAAGTAACGGATTTCAACGAAACGTCGATAACGGTCGATCGCGGTGTATTTGGATCAGGTACAAACAATTGGAACAAGGGAGAACCAATTCTCACAAAACTTTCAAGCGCAACATCGCTTCCTAAATATTATACTGATGCGTATGTGGAAACAAAACTTCCCGTCCTACCTCGATTGCAAGGGGCTGTTGGAAGCGACGCCACCAGTATCACACTTGCAGACGTTTCTTCCTCTCAATCTGGTTACTCCAGCATACCAGGCGGGAGCTACATTGTCATTGATACTGAAGTTCTCTACGTTCCAACTACTCCGACATCCAGCACGTTTGAGGTTCAGCCTGCAAACATCACCAACAGGACTGAACATGCAAAAGATGCATATGTTTTAGTCGTCGGCAATCCTTCATACCTCACAGACGCAATCTCAGATAAAGCAGACACTATCATTTCTGTCAAGGACAATTCCGGATTCCAGCCCGGCCAGTATGTCGTTGTCTACAATGGAGAGATGAACGGAAATAAAAAGGATTCCCCTGAGCTCATGCTAATCAACGATGTCTTGACCTCAAACCAGCTCAATGTGACACGAGGAATTAATCCGATTGAAGCACAATGTTCCGGATTATCATGGTGTTACCAGCCGCGTGCTCATTCAAGTGGAGATGTCGTCTTCGTCCACGACAACGTGTACGTCAACTCTCAGACCGGGATCGCTCCGGGTGACTATGTTGAGATGGTAATCGCGTTTCCAGTTGTACCTGAAATAGCCCTTGTCACTGCTTCCTCACCCAACCTGCTCAACATCAAGCATGGACAGTTCGGCACCTTGTCGTTTTTCCCCTTTAGCCCCTGGGGCGGTTGGATGTCAGTAGCGTCTCGTTACGGCCTGAGGAGCGCCATCCTCGTCGCCCCTCTCACCAACAACGCTACGTTCATCATCGTCAACGACGCCACCGGCTTGTTTCAGTATGACGTCATCGCCATCGGCCAGGAGCTGCTTCAGATCACGTCCCTTGCCAACAACCTCGTCGGAGTGACCAGAAGCGTCCAGGGATCGCTCGCGACCTCCCACGCCCAGGGATCGTCTGTGACCTACGTGCGCAGCTCGACGACTGCTCTTGCATCGTCCCCGACTCAGACAGCAGCAGGGCGACGTCTGCTGCAGACCGTGTCTGCCGGCATCTCGGCTTCCGCTACTCAGATCGCTGTGTCCGGCACCATGCCAGCCCAGGGCACAAACATCCTCGTCGACGACGAGGTCATGCTGGTGCTGGCAGTGGACAAGACGACCAGCACCATCACGGTCGCCAGAGCCCAGCAGGGCACCGCCGCAGCCGCTCACAGCGCCAGCGCAGAGATCGAGCTCTCCATCGGGGCGCAGTACTTCATGTCGACCATCATCGGGGCGACGGGCGTCCTTCAGTCGATCTCCGGGAGCAATGCCGGGCTCTATGCCCGCCCGTTGATCACCAACCCAGACACGACCGATGCTACACCCATGCTCTACCTCGACGGCCTTGCCGTCATCCAGAGCCCCGCCAAGCTCCCGAGCGCCCCCGTGCTATCGCTCAACTACCTGGCGCCTGCCCTGACCTCGTACCCGGGTGCGATCCCCTCGCTCATCATGCCCTCGGTCTCGTACCCTGTCGTCTATAGCCCCGCCAAGTACAGCTCGGACCCGCTCTACTACCAGGACAGGATGGACGGGTACGACCTGATGCGCCCGCGCTCAGCTGTGCTGGAGGGGAGCTCGAATAAGATCAATGGCACCAGCCCGGTCTACGTGCTTGACTCGTTCGGGCAGATGCTTGGAGACCACGTGACCGGAAGCGAGACTCTCCGCGTCACCCTGCAGGCCCTCGCTACGGCCCTCGCCACTACACCCGTGCTCTCGAGCTCCGTGTCATCGACGGCCAGAGTGACGGCATCTTACAGCATCACCCAGGAGTCGTCAAGCTTAGGGAGCGTGTGGGGAGCACCGTCCAAGGTCTACTCGCCGTTCTTGGGCTACTCGATTAAGTCGGTGGCGGCATCGGGAACGATATCTCCGGCTGCCCTGTCAAACGCTGTGCTGGACTCGACCTCAACTACCGTGACGCTGTCAGCGTCGGTGACCTTCATAACGTCAGGCAGCTACATCCGCATTGACAACGAGGTCATGCTGGTGACAGCCGTCGCTGGCTCCTCCCTGACAGTCGTGCGCGGTCAGCGTCAGACGTACGCTACCACACACGCTGCTCAAGCGAGTGTCTACTCGGACTGTGTGGGTCGGCTCTATGCCGAGCCAAGCCTGGAGGGGGGGGAGCCAGCTGTCCTCGACTTCGATGGAAATACAGTGACCGTCGTGTCGGGAGGCAGCGGCTACTTGTCGTCGTCGAAGATTCATGCCTGTGGCAGCGCGACGAGGTGTGACTACTCGGTAGCAACCGCCAACACCTGCTCCCTGACCTTCACTGCCTCCCTCGGATCTGCCGTGCAGGAGGTGTATCTCAACAACACAGTGGCTGCCAGAGCTCTCGGGGGTCAGCTGAGCGGGCTGACCTCCTCGAGCAGCCGCTTCATCTTGTGGAAGACGCAGTCAAGGAAGGTCTCTACAACTCTGCCTTCCTCAACCCCTGCCTCCCCCTCCGCTACCACGGCCACCACTACCCCAGCTGGTAGCTCGATCAACGTCGGCGCCATTGTCGGCGGGGTCATCGGGGGCGTTGCCGGCGCGGCTCTTCTGGGCTTCCTGGCGTACAAGCTGCTGGCCCCTGCGACCGTGGTGAAGTCTCCCGTGGAGGAGATGGTACCGGTGTACCTCCCCCAGACCTACCCTGTTCTCCCTGTAGACTACGCCTCCGCTGCCCCCATGCCGCTCCAGACACCCGTCTACGGTCAGCAGCCCATGGCGTACGGCATGTGAGCTGACCAGCTGCTGGTTGGTAAGCATCCTTCATGATCCGACTCAACGCATGAGACGCGTTTTGTCTTTTCCCTCCACTCCTGCTTTTTTTTCGTGAGTAAAGAACGATGACGCATTCAGTGACTACGCATGTTGTTCCCATACTTCGGTCGTGCTTGTGTCCTGTCGTCTTTTCTCTCCCCAGCACTCCCAGCGCTCTGCCGCTAGAGCGATATTTTCAGTTTGCCTCCTTGCTGTTGCTTCGGCTCCTGCATTTCTGCTTCTTTGTCACATCCCGAGGCTTTACGACCTTGAACATAGGTCTGCAGCAAGAACTTGCGCTGGATTTCTCCGCAGGGTGACATCAAGAAGGAGATCTATCTCTCTTTATTCTCACACAACAGACGAGACAAGCCAACACTCACAGGCATGGCACACACATGAAAGGTGCGATAATCCTTTTATAGCTTCGAAGAAGGAGGGTAGAGACTAGCCTTTCCTCCGATAGATGTTGCACAACCCTTCACAGAAAGGTTCTTTTTAGTACCTGCCTTCCTCTACCTCCCCCCTTCTGATTGTTGATACGAGCAATCAGGCCCGTCAGGTTCACTCTCACTTTATTCTTATCCGATGAAACGGATCGCTCGTATCGAGCTCTACGAGGCAGACAGCAGCATCAGCCGCTGCCTGCCGGATCATCAAGTAGCCGCGTTTCTCACATGCCGTAAGCCATGGGCTGCTGGCCGTACGCTGGAGTACCAACAGGCATCGGGGCTGCAGCGGCGTACTGCACGTCAAGGGCAGGATAGGCTTGAGGCAGGTAGACAGGCACCATCTCCTCGTCTACTGCCTTGCCGACAGCCTTGGGCGCAAGCAGCTTGTAGGAGAGCAGGCCGAGCAGAGCGGCTCCGACCACGCCCCCGATGACGCCTCCGATGATGGCTCCGATGTTCTGACCTCCTGCTGGAGTCGTCGACGAGCTCGCGCTCGCCGGTGCGGTCTTCTGACCGTTGGAGTAGGAGCCCGCAATGGTGTCGTTGAGGTACATGTCAGCTGTACCAGCCGACGACGTCGACACGATGAGCAGAGCCAGGCTGCTCCAGGTAGAGTCCAGCACGGACGGTCGGCTGGTGACGGAGTAGGAACGCGCCGCCGTCTGACACCGACAGGCTCTGCTGGGGTACAGCCTGATCGCCGAGCATCTGAACGAAGGAGTCCACCAAACCTCCATGCCCTCGAAGGCCGGGGAGGGGGGCGGTACGCCAAGGGCCCGTGGGGTCTCCGGAAATCTGGCCGTGGGAGGGGGTACCTCTAGTTTCTCGACTTGAGGAGAGGAGGGTGGGGTGGGGTGTCTCCGCAAATCTCCAGGGCGGGGGAGGGGGAGCGGGAGGTGGGGATGGTTTCGGGCATGCGGAGGTTTGGAAAGGGTTTGCGGAGGGTATGGAGGGTCAGAAGCGTGGGAGCAATGCGGTGGGAAGCCGGGTCGTGGGCGGGGTTCCTTGCAGCCCGTATTATGGGTTGGTGGAGTAGGTGCGCCAAAGTTTGGAAAGTATGTGCAAAAGTTTGTTTTTGGTCCATGGGGTGGGAAAGTTACGCTGAATATCCAGCAGGCCCGGTGGAAGCAGGAGCATGCGAGAGGAGAGAGAAAGACAAGGGAAGGGAGAGGGAGATGGTGAGAAAGGAAAAGATGAATAAGCAGAAGACATCTAGAGATGTTTACAGGATTGGATGTTTACGAGAGGATGAGAAAGGGGGGAAGAGATCGAAGAGAGAACGAAGAGAGAAAGAGCAGAATCACGACCAGCAGCCCAGATGCAGAAAGAGGGAGAGAGACAGAGTATACGTCGTGAGGTAGGTATGAGGAGATAGATGCGAGTGGTAACAAAGCAGAAGAAGATGTAGAAGAGAACAAGAAATGTTTACAAGACAGACAGAAGAGAGGCAGAAGGAGACAGAGAAAAGCGAGAGACATCCTAGTGACAAGACTGACAAAGAAGAGAAATACGAGAAACAGAACAGACATACAAGAGATAGACGTTTGAGAGGCTCAAGGCTGTCAGACAAGCCTCAGAGGTCCCGCTGCTCATCCCTGCTACAGGCCTCTCGCTCTCTCTGACTCCTCCCTACGGACCTCAAGCTCAAGCGCGACGAGGACGACGAGGACGGCAGACGGTCTGCTCGAGAGGAGCGAGGGAAGACAAGAGGTCCCTTGTGCTGGGGCTGAAGGACGAGCGAGGAGGAGGATGAGCCAGGTCTCCGACGACGAGCAGCAGAGCATGGAGGAGGACGAGAGGAAGCGGCAGCAGCTGATCGAAGCGATCGAGAGAGGAGATGAGGTCCAAGTGAGAGCGCTGGCCGTGAGTGCAGGAGCAGAGCGACTGAAGCAGAAGCATCCAGTAGGACCAGCGAGAGTCACGGCCATAGTCAGCGGTAGCTGGGATAGGATGCTGAGGGTGTGGGACGTCAAGAGCATGGAGGAGAAGGCTTGTCTTCAGGGTCATAGTCGTAGGGTAACGAGCGTGGCGATCAGCGGGGACGGCAAGACGGCTGTCAGCGGGAGCTGGGACAATACGCTGAGGGTGTGGGACCTTGTGAGCATGGAGGGGGGTCATAGTGGGGGTCATAGTGATGGCGTATTTAGTGTGTCTCTCAAGACTCATATGCTTGATGGCTCGGCGCTGCACGCGGAGGCGGCGCGAGGCGTCTGGTCTGTCTGTGAGAGGCTGCTGGAGGTCGGGGGCGGAGAGCTCGGGGAGCTGCGAGACTCGCTGGGACGAACAGCGGCGGAGGCAGCGCGAGAGAGGCAGGACGAGGAGCTGGCGAGCAAGATAGAGGACTGGATGCGGCGAAAGCGTGCTCTCACCAACATGGACAAGAGCACTACCCTGCGATCTGCAGTGAAGGCGGCGAAGCGGCATGGTTCATCCATAGGCCTGCAGGGGGTAGCGAAGCTTTCACTTCATGAGCTGACGGAGAAGATGTGCAGCAATGAGCTCGCCTCAGGAGTGCAAGCGCACATGTCCTTGCTTTGGTAGAGTTGCTGGGCAGCAGGGGCCACGAGGCGTATGTGCGTATGCGGGAGGCTTGGGGTAGAGTGCGGGCCTTGCAGGGTGAACTCAATACCAGACAAGCTGAGGTCATGGGATGTGCGAAAGAGGAGGAAAATGCGAGCATAGAGAGGCGGAACAAGACGAGGACAGATCTAATACAGGCATCTGACGAGCTGGAAGCTGCGCTTGAAGGCGGTTGTCAGGTTCGTCTGCTGGAGTACAAGCAGGCAATGGAGCTAGCTGGTGGGAATGCTGGATGGAAGCTTCGCCGTTACAAGCTGCAGAGACACGAACCATCTAGAAGATGCGCTACCGGAGACGCACATGGCGCTTGAGGCAGCGTTTGTGTCTGAAGACGAGGTGTCATTGCTGAGGCGAGCTCTGTCATGGGCACAGACTGTGTCCTTCGAGCTGGATCAGATGGCAGATGTCGAGGGCTTGAGCAGTTACAAGAAGACGTTTGAGAGCTTAGAAGACCCGCAGCGTCTGCTGGATAGGTGGGGAGGTGGGGAGAGCTGAAACAGGCGGTTGAGCGCCTGGAAGATGAGATGTTTCGTCACCAATCCGACCTAGAGAGGTGCCAAAGGAAGAAATCGCCCACCAAGATTCAGAGCAGACGAAAGAAGCGATCCATACGAAGCTCGTGGCAAGCGCCAAAGAGCTCGAGAGGACGGAGAGCAGGCTGTGGAGCATGGCCTGTCACTATCCTGAGCACAGAAACAAGTTGAAGCAGGACATGGAGCGCAAGACAGGGGGGAGCGACGGAGATTTTGTGATTGGGCGCGAGACTATGGACATGTTCAAAGTGGTTGACCGGCTGTCGCAGGCCGGGCAGAAGGGAGCCCGACATAACGTTATGCTCGTAAGACAAGGAGACGAAGAATATGTCATCAAGGAGTACGTACTCTCAGACAGCACAAGGGGAAGCAGATGCTTCCTTCGTGAAGCCAGCATCTTGCGTCGCTTGGAGAACCCTTACATCATGAAGCTGAGCAGCGCTTTTATCGAAGAGAGGAGAGAATTCGAGAGATCAGTCATGAAGGGATACCTGAAGATGCCGCTCCTCGTCGGAGGGACGTTTTCGAGCTGGGTGGAGCATGTCAAACCCAGCGATCAGCACAAGCACAGGGTGCTGATGCAGGTGCTGCAGGGGCTGGAGCACCTTCATCGAAATAGGATCATCCACTGCGACATCAAGCCCGGGAACATCCTGATGACTTCCAAGGACGAGCGTGCAGAGCCGCAGATCGCGGACTTTGATGTGTCGAAGGAGCAAGAGGACCGAGCGAGGGAGCTGGCAGCGACAGTGACCGCAACCCTTGCCTACTACATGGCTCCGGAGCTGCTGGACCCTTCCACGAGCAAGAAGCAGCTCTCGCACAAGTGCGACATGTACTCGTATGGGTTGGTGATGCTCGAGGTGTTGACAGAGGTATGGACAAGTGGGTCGCGGCGAGAGAACATCACGGTGATGGTGGCCAGGCTACAAGGAGAGGCGAAGGATCTTGTTTTTAGACTCATCGATTCCAATCCAAGCATGAGGCCTTCATCTGTCGAGGCTCTGACTCACCGCTACTTCAGCCATGCTATGATCCTGGAACGCGAACATCTCGACAAGGAGCGCGCTGACATGCGGGAGCGGCTCGATCGAGAGCGTCAGGCGCTGGCTGCACAGCAAGACGAGCTGAAGGAGAGGGAGAGGGAGATGCACCAGCGCAGGGAGCGCGTGCAGCGTGAGGAGAGGCAGCTGCTGGAGCAGCAGCGAGACCTGATGTCTAGAGGCAAGCAACTCGAAGACGACGACAGGTCCAGGAAGGAGCAGCTACAGAAAGAGAAGGCCGAGCTCAACAAGCAAGGTCAGCTTCTGACAGACCAGCAGCGTCAGGTGCAGTCAGGGCTAACGACGTTGAGCCAGCGCGAGGCCGAGCTCAAACAAAAAGGGAGAGACGTTGAGACAGAGAAGCTGCTTCTCGCGCAGGATCGCGCGGTGCTGAAGCCTCCCTACTACTGGCAGAGTCAATCAAGCGGTAGGAGCACGGACATCAAGGTCGACGTTACAAGCGAATGGAAGGACAGGATACAAGAGCTGATGACGTCGACGTGTAAGTCGCAGTACCTCGGGCAAGGAAGAGACAACAAGGGCCTCAAGTATAAAGGATACGAGGTGGAGCGAGTCTTCCGTGTAGAGCATGCGGGGCTGTGGTCGGCGTATGCTCTAGAGCGACTACTGGACAAGACGAGCAACGAGACGTTTCTGTTCCACGGGACCAAGCACGACATGGCGGAAGCTATCTTGAAGTCCGGGCTCGACGAGCGGGTCTGGGAGGCTTGTTCGGAGCTGGGGTCTACCTGGCGGAGAACTCCAGCAAGAGCGACGAGTACTGCACGCCCGACAGCCACGGGATCTGCCGCATGCTGCTTGTGCGGGTGGCGCTAGGAACGCCGTACGAGGCCCTGCAAACCATGAGGAGAGCTCGACGACCACCAGCCATGCCGGGCAGCGACCGTCTGCATGACTCAGAGATCGGAGCCTAGTAACGCAAGACACTCACCTGCAGGCCTATCTGGACAAGCACAGGGAGTTCATCGTGTACGACCGGCGGCAGACTTACCCTGAGTTGCTGATCGAGTTCAGGCGGGTGTGAGTTGCTCCGATAGACCCGATGACATCCGTGGGAACAGGCGGGTAGGATGACATGACATCCGTGGGAACAGGCGGGTACGATGACATGACATACGTGGGAACAGGCGGGTAGGATCGCATGATGACTGCTGCCACTCCTGCATGAGAACCTCTCGTGACTGTCAAGAACGACATACAGTAGCATCGCTACAGATACTAGTACTCTAAACCTACCTCGAACCCTACTTAGATCCCATAGCTCTATGTGTACAACTCTGATATCATATCCCTCCCTTGAATGCCCTTCTAACGACGTTGATCACCCCCACCCACTCCCAGCACGCTCATCTCGACTGATTCATCTGTAATTCACCAAAAAAACGGGGAATATAGGGAGAGCAGCTCGCCTCAGAGAGGAACTAGGCCACCGAGTGAGGCAGCACATGGTCTCATGGAGGCGAGCTCGATTCTAGCGAGGGAAGTCAGACTTGAAGCTTCCTGCTCCTGATGCAATCGCAAGATGATATGAGAGCCATTGAGGAGCGAGCGCAACTCGGAGGGGTCATGGTCAGGGGGTAGCACTCGAGGATAGCCCCAGCTGGTGCCTAGTAGACAGCCAGCGAGTATCTAAGACTGAGATGAGGACCCCTTGTGGACTCCCCCCCTTCGTGGTGGAGCTGCAGGGGACGCTGGGATGGCGGGGAAGGGAATGAGCCTGTTCGTGCTGCTAGGGGAAAGAGGTTGCGGTGAGGCTCGACGAGCATTGAGCAGGGGGCTGAAGCTTGCCACAGCAAACCTCCCCTTTATCGATCGTCTTTCGGGCAATGACAGTCGTCATTTTCAGTCTCTCTTTGCCATTGAGCTTCTGTTCATCAACAGTTATCTAGTGACATCAGTCTACCTTCAATACTTTCCTCCCTGCATCAGTTTCGCGTACCTGCCCTGCTCTACCTCCTCTCTTCACTGTCTCTCTCCCTCCTTTCGTCTTAGAACTACAAGGCCTCAAGCTATTCAACTTCACATTGACTTTATTCTCATCCGATAGAAGGAATCGCTCGTATCGAGCTCTACGAGGCAGACAGCAGCATCAGCCGCTGCCTGCCGGATCATCAAGCAGCCGCGCTTCTCACATTCCGTATGCCATGGGCTGCTGGCCGTACGCTGGAGTACCAACAGGCATCGGGGCTGCAGCGGCGTACTGCACGTCAAGGGCAGGATAGGCTTGAGGCAGGTAGACAGGCACCATCTCCTCGTCTACCGCCTTGCCGACAGCCTTGGGCACAAGGAGCTTGTAGGCGAGCAGGCCGAGCAGAGCTGCTCCGACAACGCCCCCGATGACGCCTCCGATGATGGCTCCGATGCTCTGACCTCCTGCTGGAGTCGTCGACGAGCTCGCGCTCGCCGGCGCGGACGCTGCTGACGAGGCCCCGACGAGCACAGCAAGCTTGCGCGGGTCTGTCTTCCATGCGAACATCCTGCTGCTGGCAGACAGCAGAGCGGTCTTCTGACCGTTGGAGTAGGAGCCCGCAATGGTGTCGTTGAGGTACATGTCGGCTTTAGTAGCCGACGACGTCGACACGATGAGCAGGGCCGGGCTGCTCCAGGTAGAGTCCAGCACGGACGGTCGGCTGGTGATGGAGTAGGAGTACGCGCCGCCGTCTGACACCGACAGGCTCTGCTGGGGTACAGCCTGATCGCCGAGCATCTGACCGAAGGAGTCCAGCACGAACACGGGCGAGCCTGGCTCGTGAGGGATCGGAGAGCTGGCGTTGATGGCGTTGGAGCCGTTGATGGGAGACAGCAGGGAGCTGTCTGAGCTCGGATCATACCCGTCCATCCTGTCCTGGAAGTAGAGAGGGTCTGCTGGGAACCTCCAAGGCTGGTACGTCACGGGGTAGGTCACAGTCGGCCTGATGAGTCTCTTGGTGAACTTGTCCGTCAGGTCGACCCCGAGGTAAGTCTGCTGGACGAGAGGGCGGTAGGAGTAAGTCGCTCCTCCGACCGCCTGTCCTTGGGCGTCGCCGTCAATGAGCCTGTTGAGGCTCAGCTGGAAGGATGGCCTGCTTGTCACTCCGGCTCCTCCCGACAGCACGTGGACTCCTGACATTGCGATCACTCCAGCCGCGTTCATGCTGTACACAGGCAGAGCTGAGAAGCCCGACGAGCCCAGCAGACTTGACCTGACGTTGAGCTGCCAGGAGAAGACCGCGCTGGGGATGTTGTAGGGCGTGTTGGTCACGTGGGCAGCCGCCGACGTTCCTCTCAGCCCGCGATCATCCGCGGGGACGGTGCCTGAGGCGGGCTGCCGGATCATGATGATCTCCTCGTCGAGCTGTGCCCAGACGTCTTGGTAGCTGCTGGAGGCTTGCAGGATCGAGCTGGGAAGGGTGATGGAGCCCTGCTGTGCGATATACCTCAGGTGCTGGTCGCGCCGGGTCAGAGGAGTCACGGCAGAGACTGGCGAGGACGTCTTGGCGACGGGAGCGGTCCATGCGACTGATGCTGCGAGCTTGTGAGGGGCAGCAGCAGTGCCTGCTTGAGCTCGAGAGACTTGGAGGAGGTTGCCGTTGAGGTTGTCTATGGTCATGATCTCGTCGTCGACGACGATGCTGTCGCCGGCTAGGAACCCGGAGGCGTCGAAGAGGATGATGCGGGATACGGTCGAGTTGATGTCTAGAGCGAGCTTGGACCTGGCGAAGCTCTTTTTGGAGACAGGGAGCAGCTGATGGGCCCAATGTACGTTACGAAAAAATTCCTTTTTATCGTATTCTCCTGCCGTGAACTTGAGGCGGACTTCGTTCTCAGAGGACGAGATGACTTGCGCTGTCCCCCCATAAGCATCCGCCGAGAACATGACGCTGTCGCCGGGGTATAGCGCATCACCGTGAAGAACGTCGAATCTCTCGTACTTGTACAGGACTGCCTTGTCTTTTTCGAATGAAGGCCCCTGAGTTTTGGTGAATGGAGTAACGTCCATGGAGTAGTCTGCGACAGCTTCGACTCGGAACAAACCATTTTTGCCATCAGCCTGGCAGATCCACACGAAGTCACCCGGGGAGTAGAAGTCGGACACTTGAGTGGTCAAGGAGATGCTGTAGGTAGCCTGATAATCTGTCACCTTAAAGGTTGAGTTGAGGAGCCTCAAACCCTCAACCTTCGAAAATGTACTCTCTGTATTTGACAGTTTCACAACTTCGGTTGGTGCGAAAACATTCGTCACAGTGATTGTGCTGTCTTTAGTGTTGATAGCTTTGACTTCCAGAGTAAGAGTATAGCCGTTGCTCACGATGTCTCCAACTACCAAGTCTGATACCCTTGATAAGGGCACCTCACATGGTGGGCTTGCACAAGATTTGTAATTTGTTCTGTACCGAGTGTTAAGATAAGCAGGCTTTGCAATGGTCTGCACCAGTGCTCCTGATGACACGCTGGTAGCCTGTGGGTAACCCTGAAAGTCAGGGATCATTTCTCGACGCACACTGCCGTCCGACTGATACTCCATCACCTCGAAGTACACATCATTATCCCACCCTGGAAACGCCCACAGCAGATCTCCGGCTTGCAGTCCGTAAGTGTTTGAGAAGTTCGCGTTGGTTGCCGTCTTATCGATTTCCTGCTCCAGGACTCGTGGGCTGAATAGATAGTTCACTGAGATCCCTTCCAACAAATCAGCTTTGTCAGGATTTGATCCAAACTGAGCTCTTTGGACCGTCAGGTTCTGGTAGAGATACCCCGATACAGTAGCCGTCTCAGCGCTCAATACCAACATCGCCTCATCAAACAAATCATAATAATTATATACCAGCAGGTAGTCGCCTGGCTGAAAGCCTGACGACTGCGTGTCCTTCACTGGGTCCTTCAAACGTAGTACAGTGTCGCTAAAGCTGATCGTAGCCAGCAGAACCATGTTTGACCTGTAGATTGACCGCCCCAGGCTCGCCCCAGTGGTCAGCTTCACCAGCACTCCCGTCGGGTGCGATGACGCCGATGTTCCTACCTGGGCTCGCTGGACGGTAAGTTTGTCGCCGGATATCGAAGTCACTGTCATGATCTCGCCCAGCACCTGGATGAAGGCCCCCGCAAACAACAGGCTCGCGTCCGATACAGTCAACGAGGTTTGATCCGCCGTCACGGCTTCCTGCAGCACGATGGGATACTTCTGAGACAGTCGCACGTACCCCACCGCCTTGAATGCGGCATGACTGGCTGCGATCGTCCCCTCTTGTCCTCGAAGCACAGTCAGCGACGAGGCTCCTACGGCAGTGACGTACATGACCTCCTTCTCTATCTGGATGTATCTGCCCGACGTGAACTTGGCGGCGTTTGACACGTCAATGCTGGTCGCGTCCCTTGCGACGCTCTTGAGCAGCACGGAGCCCGGGTTGAAGGTCCTGACAACGGTGCCTGCGGCGAAGGTCAAGGCCATGCTGGTGTTGAGCGCGCCTCGAGTGACCGTGAGAGTGCTCTGCTGGACGCTGATCGCGTCCACGAGAAGGACTTCATCCACAAGCCGCACGTAGTCGCCCACCTTGAAGCCCGACACTGACTGCACCTCCAGCACAGCCGACCTGGAGGTCTGCAGGAGCCGACGAGCCGCCTGGTCTCTGAGAGCCACAAGAGTCGTGACAGGGAAGTTGCTGAACGAGCCGTAGACTGCGTTGATGAAGCCGGGTCTGAGCAGATAGTCCACGCCGGTCACCTGGCCCGCCAGGTTGCGGACAGAGCTCTGATCGAAGGACAAGTCGCCCGGCCAGTAGAGAGGGCCCGGCTGAAGGGCGTCTGAGCTGGGGCCGTCGGTGAAGTAGAGTAGAATCTCCGCGCACGGATACGCTTGTCCTGCGTCCGAAGGAAACTCGAGCCTCAGCGGGTTAGGCGTGCTGGGAGAGAAGCCGAAGCCCGCGTTGAGCAGGACTGGCTGGTGGGTCCGAGCATCCCACCCGATGGCTGCCAGCGCCTCATCAGCGACCACACTCGACAGCGAGGCATCAAGGACTGTCGACAGGTAGGAGGGACAGTTGTCGGCCGCGCAGGTGCGGGCGGGGCAAGGGAACGTAGCACATGCGCTGCACTGCGAGGAGCCTGAGCAGGAAGGCAGCGGGTTGAGCTCCGCTTGCGAGTAGGCGCTTGTGCAGAGTTTGGAGCCCGGGCAGAGAGACTTGACAACAAACGACCCGCTGCTGCAAGTCGGCTGGACGTTTGCGGCCCCCTGGTTGAGCTCTGGCAGCGAGACGTTCCTCACGAGCTCGACCCGAGACGCGACCATCCCACTTCTCGGGTAAGCGCCAAGAGTGGGAGCTGGGCATGCCGGCAGCGACCCGGGCAGAGCGACGACGTTGATGCTCCACGAGGACGCGCGGGGGCTGACAGAGCGAGGCGGACGCGAACGCCTCGTTGGCTGCGATCTTGAAGATCAAGGAGCCTCGCGGGCCTTGGAAGCCCTGGCTGCGTCTTGCCGTGTAGACGTTGCTGGAGGAGTACGCCGACGGCCCGCTCGACACGCGCATCTGCAGCGTCTTGCGCGTCCTGTAGTCTCCTGCCGCTCCGTCCGCCGGCGAGCAGACTTGCAGCCCGTCGCGGTTGCTGGGCGAGTAGAAGGCGCTGGTCGCTACCGACTGCTCGCACGAGCCCGAGCACTCTCCGCTCACCGTCGCCTCCACCTGAAGCTCTGAGGCAGTGCACACCTGGTTGGCGATGGAGTTGGCGCTCTTGTCAGCACAGGCGCTGCTGGAGCATCCGCTGCAGCTGAAGGTCGCGATGGGTCCGGAGCCCGAGCTCTGGTATCCGTATCCCTCGTGGGTGATGAGAGCTCCGTCGAGAGTCAGGCCTGTCTGCTGTGCCACAGTGCCTGAGGCTATGACGAAGCCCGAGTAGACGTTGGTGCCCTGGTACGCCGTGTTGAGCGAGAAGAAGGAAGGCTTGCAGAGCGTCTGCTGGCTGCTGCTCAGGTCCGCAAAGTCTTGTCGGTAGCTCTTGACCGCCCCTCTGACGCTAAACTCCATGTCGACAACGATGGGGATATTGGCGTACCCTTGACCCTGCTGTACGATCTCGTAGCTCGGAAGGCTCGCGCCCGCAGCTTGGGAGACTTTGATCTTGAGCGCCTGCCCTCCTGGCCGCTGCGGAGAGCTGAACACCAGCACCGACCCGTCGCAGCTGAAGAGATTAGTCACGGTCGTAGGCCCGTTGTAGTGCACTACGCCAAGCTCCCCGTTGACCAGCCTCGACCCCGAGACAGGAAAGGACCAGGTGGGGACCGCCACGGCGTCGGCATGAGCGTCGACCAGACCGTTGGCGTTGATAGCTGACGGGCTTATCTTCACGCTTGTGAACCCGAACGCAAACCCCGACACCCCCTGCTGCGGGACCGTCACAGCTGTGACTCGAGAGCTGTTCCACGAGCTGCCTGCCCTCAGCATCGTCTGCGTGACTGCAGTGCTGCAAGCCTTGTTGAAGCCGACCACCACCGGCGAGTCCATGGTAGAGCGGAAGGCGGGAGCCTTGGACGATGACGTCAGCAGCGCCGACTGCATGCCAGTGTACGAAGAGGCTCTCGGGCCGGCCATGTGAACGTCTGAGGTCACGAAGCCTAGGATCGCCCGGGCGCTGCCGTCTGTGCACGGCAGGGTCACAGCTGGCGGATACTCGTACCCGGACCCTCCGTCGATGACCTCGATCGAGGTGACGCCGCCGTTGGCTGCTGTTTGAGCCCTCGCGGTCCTGCCTGAGGGCGGAGGCTCGATGGTGATGGGTCCTGTGCAAGACGACGGCGGTAGAGACGTCACGACTATGGCAGCCACGTATCCTGTTCCGACCTCAGCGTTGGACTTCCTCGCATCATATCGCTTGTACAGAGCGACCGCGGGGAAGACGGTCGAGTGCAGGCCAGTGAGGGAGTCGAAGTGATCTCGCTGGGGGTGGTACATCATCAGGTTGGAGTCTGCTGTCACCCGCAGACGAGAGGTGAAGTTGTGAGACAAGTGCGCTATCGCAAAGGCGTCACAAGGCGTGTTGGAGCTGGGGTTCGTAAGCGTCACGGTAGGCGGGAAGAAGTACCCTCTGCCCGCGCTGGTGAGGGCGATGCTGGTGATGGACCCTCCGCTGACAGTCGCGACTGCCGTAGCCTGAGAGCATAGAGAGCTGTCGGACGGACAGACCGGGGTGTTGGTCAGCCCATCAGCCACCCCGTCCTTGTCGGGACTGGAGATGGTGACCTGGACGTTGGCGCTGCAGCTTGTTCCTGGAGTCACGATCTCGATCAGCTCGATGCCTGACCTCTGCCCCTCGAGCATGAACACGCCCGACAGGCGCCTGCCAGAGGTGCAGGTGCCGTAGAACCTCCCGGGTCGCAGATAGCCCGAGCCCCAAGTAGAAGGAGGAGCAAACACAGGCCCGCTCCCTCCGACGCTTGTCATGGTCTCAGCATGGTTGACCGTCACCCCGTCGGGCGCCTGGGGTCTCTCGATGTCGCTTCCCTGGATGGTGCAGGTGTCGCCTGACGACATGGCACCGCCGAGCACAAGCATCCGCGAAGCAGCAGAGCCCGCTAGCCCGACGTTGCGAAAGCTGACGGGCGTCGCGAACTGAAACCTCGTCCTCTCTCGGATGGTCTTGGAGGCGTCGTCCGTAGAGGGAGTGACGAACGCGTTGGGGTCGCTGGGGACCGACTTGAACCGGTAGCCGGGGATGCTGATGCTGACGCTCTCGCCCTGTCGGATCCACTTGCCCTTCGCCACCTGCAGCTGCAGCTGCGTGTAGATGGTGTAGGGCTTGTTGGCCAGGTCGATGCTTCTAGGCTTGTTGCCCTTGAGGTCTGCCACCCAGTAGACGCCGCCTGCTCCCTGCTTGATGACGTACTCGCTGGACCCGATCATCGCTGTCATGCCGGTGTACCGACCGACCTGCTCCTTGGGCACGACCTGACAGTCGCTCAAGAAGGAAGTCGGAAACTCTTCCGCCACTACGAAGCATTGTCTAGCTGGGTTGTAGTCGAGGATAGACTGGGTGACAACGGTGCTCGTCACGTTGGTCAAGGAGACGTCAAACACTGGCAGCTCAAGCTGCTGGACTGTCGAGGGCAGGCCGACACTTGGCTTGAGCGAGGTGGTGATGGTGGGGATGGACGTGTATCCGCTGCCTTGAGACGTCAGGCTGGCACTCGCCACAGAGACAAGCACTCGTAGCTGGGTGTTCTTCCCGGTCACGGTCGCATAAGGATATCCGGAGTACAGCCCGGGGGCAGTAACATGCACAGCTGGGCTGGTGCTGTAGAGAGAAGAGATGGTAGCATTCGCCGGCAGGACTTGGTAGGTAGAATCGAAGACGATCGTGTCACCAGTTGCCAACGAGCTGCCTGACACGTACTGGACTCCCACCACCTGGTACAGCAGCGTCCCCGTTGCCTGATCGGTCGCGCCAGATGCCACAAACGTCGGCGCGGCTCCTGATACTCCCGAGCTCTCCGAGTATCTCCCGCTGATGACCACAAGGCCCCCGTGCCGCACTCGCACGCTTGTGACCTGACCGCCGGCTGTCACCGTGTGCTGATTGTTGCGGCACTTGAGCTGCATGCCGACATAGTCCGACGGTTGAAGGAGGTTGACGCTGGTGTTCCTGTAGCAGATGTCCTGCGTGTACCCTAGAGTCGTCGAGGCTCCGTTGGTCACCTTGGTCAGCACCAGCGTCTTCGATGGACCCCCGAAGGTGATGTCGCTGTCCGGAAGGCCCCACGGGCAGGACACGCGGCTCCAGCACAAGTCCTTGTTCTTGTTGTAGCCATCGTCATCCCGCGACAGCACAAACAAGCCGTCCACGTCTCCGTCTCCTGACCGATGCCTGTTCCCGTCCGCCACCCAGCCGTTGCTGATGTATGCTCGAGCGCGATCTTCCTGGTAGTAGTTGAGCTCCCACTCCAGCTGCGTGGTGAAGGTGGTGAAGGCCGGGTTGGGCGACGACGTCACGCCGAAGATGGGACCCGTGACAACGTCGTAGGCAGGCAGGTTGACGAGGAGCATGTCGCCTTCGTAGAGGTTATGCTCGGGAGTGACCGTGAACACGACATCTCTGCTGGGCTGCTCCTGGAGCTGCATGCTGGACTTTGCTCGGACCTCGTAACCACTGTCTAGCGTCGCAGACACAAATGATAAGCCGGATGTGACCGTCAGAGCTTGAGCGCTGGCGGCAGTGCCCTGGTTGACCAGCTGCAGCTGGACTGTGTAGATGGAGTGATCGTAGATGAACGCTTCTGCTTGCGCGCCGCTCCCGGAGCCCGACGAGTCGACGATCAAGACTTGCGGACGTATCGTGTAGCCTGAGCCAGGCGCTGTCAGGCTGATGGACGTGACGGTGCCGGAGATCACGGTCGCGGCTGCTGAGGCAGAGCTGCCGGCAGCAAACACTACCCCAGCAGCTGTGCATGTCGGCTTCGTCCAGAACTCAGCTCCAGGAGTAACGTCGCATATGATCACACTAGCAGACTGATACCCCGACCCTCCCGCTGTGACCTCCACCTTGTACAGGCCCTTGGATCGGCGAGCATTGACGTTGTAGAACGGGTCGTAGACGGAAGATGAGTACTGCGTTGACGCCCCGGTGTACGAGATCTGTATCGTGTTGTCGAGGTACTTGCATACGCTGTTGAACACAGCCGGAGGCGCTATGCCCTTGGCGCGATGCTTGTTGGTAGCGGCATTGACAACCTGCCCGTTCCTGGCTATCGTACATGGTATGTCCGATGATCCAGCGTTCTTCATGCTGATGAACGATCCGACTGTGATAGTCTGACCCGAGGCGAGAGGATAGTTAGGCTGTAGCTCCATCGTCAACCAGACTGTGCTGCCTGTCACATTCGATCCCGACCTGATGTTGGACGATATGAACTTGCGATCTGAGATGTAGCCCGCACACCCTGACGGCTCAGACGTGTAGCCGGCTACCTTCCTGGTCACATCATTGTTGCAGAGATACGACTGAGCTCCTCGGTACACGGCAGGTGCAGACGGTGAATCTACTGTCAGCGAGACCTGAGGGCAGGTCGCTTGTCCTGTCTTGACGTTGGTGAGCTGGAAACAAAACTTGTACTTGGAGTTCTGCTGCAGCGACTGTGACGGGCCCAGCTGAAACTGTATCGTTGACTTGTCATACGTCGCGTAGTTGTCTTGCGGGCTAGCCCCAACTGTCTGGAACAGCCCGCTGGTAAGAGGCGATACCCCATACTCATCGTACAAGGCTACTTTGGTACCGGAAGAGAACATGTCCAAGCCCGTCAGAGTGAAGGTCGTCGGCGCATTGATAGACTTGCTGGGTCTCAAGGTAATGCAAACAGGGTTGACAGCTCCAGGAGCCGGACTCAACTGCCCGATGTCATACTTGTTGAGCAGCTGCCTCGTCAAGTAGAGAGCGTGCAAGTCTTTGCGCATCGGCGAAGCCATGAGCTGTGGGCTCGACAGCTTGTTCTCAGCAAACTGACATGACACGGAGACAGAAGGGCTGGCCTGCTCCGTCACGCCATTCGTCAAGGTGTAACTCCATGCATACGTCCAGCCAGCATGCATGCAATTAGACGGTCGACCCTTGACAGGCAGCTGGCAAGCTCCTGGAGCAAGAGTGACTACAAGCACTCCTCGTGCTTTATCCCAGCTCGACTTCTGGATGTTGGGGAAGTACTGGTCTGTGATGGCAGCAGCAGACAAGGACGTCACGGCTGTGTCTGCTCCTGTGAGACCAGAGATGGTGATCTGAGGACTGTAGACGGAGCTCAACAGGTCCATGTTAGACCTCAAGGTGACGGTAATGACGTTCTTCTCCTGTACGACCGAGGTTGACTGGGCGATGACTCGAGTCAGGAAGCTGTAATCGTACGTCTTGAGCACGCACACGTCTCCGTCTGTCTCACCGTCCTCGAGGGCTCTATCGACACGGTTCTGCACCATGTTGACCGTCTGCGTGACCAAGCGGTTGCCAGGGCCAACACCAGAGAAGCTCATGGTCACTGATTGACAAGGGTTGGAGACCTTGGGGTTCTTGAGCCTGAGAGCAAACACAATGTCCTGCTGCTGAGGGATCGAGTAGTACATCTGACTTGCAACGTCGTCCTGGTTGACGGTCAGGACGGCTGATCCAGACGACCAGCTTGTCGTATGATGGAGTGTACCTCCCGTAATCTGGTCGATGAAGTGAGCTGTTGGCGGATCAGACTCGGGCTGTAGCTGCATCAGGCTCCAGTCGTATGACGGACAAGCCTTGACGAACAGCGCTGTTGTCGTTTGAGATCCCTGTAGGCCTGAGATAGTAATCTGGGCCAGGTTGTTCTGACCTTGGGTGTTGGAGAGTGTGGAGACACGAAAGTTGCTTCTCAGCGTCACGCAGATGTAGTTGGCAACGTCAGGACGGGTAGTCGATTGTCCGATCTTGTACTTGATAAACCCAGGACTCAGCACCGTGCCGACTGTGTTGCCGATGTTCTCTACAGCCTCCGCGCTCACCACGTCTCCTCCTTTCTGCATACTGACAGTCATCGAGCACGCCGGGTGAGCCAAGTCCAGGTTCCGCCAAGTCCATGACAGAGCGTAAGTACCGCGAGCAACGAGACTCAAGCTGCTCGCCACAGTGATCTTGAGAGGTCCCCCGCCACTCCAGTCCAGCCTTGAGCCTGGCCAGTAGTCGGCAAGGTCGACCTCGGTCGGGTTTCCAGTACATGTGTCGGTCAGCGGCGTCCCGCCGTTGAGCCTGTTGCTGACTAGAGGGACATAGGCTGAGTTGCTCTGCGAGCCACAGAGGCCCTGAATGCTGATGACCGACCCTACCTCGACGTTGAAGTTGGGCCGGAGCGTCACAAAGAGGTTGGTCAGTGAGCCAGGGTCGCTTGAGCTTTGAAACATCGACACCCTCAGCTTCTTGCCCACCACCTCCAAGATCCTCGACGACGAGTCAAACGAGGTCGGCGCAACCGTGATCGCTACTGACTTGGGTAACGTACAGAAGTCATTGGTCAGACACGCCTGGCCGGACATTGACACTTTGAGGTCTCGAGACGACTGAGGGTTGGCACCCGTCACAAGACTGAAGGAGAAGGTCAGCACCTCTCCAGCTTGGATGTAATGCCCGGGTATGAGCTGAAAGGTCAGGGTCCCGTCAGCCTTGAAGTCTGCTGAGCCGACGGTGTTGGCGGTGGTGGACGTTCGAAACCTCGCAGGCATCAAGTCCTGCACCGGGCTTGAGCCTTGGCATTGACACTTGTTCTGAAAGAGCCGCACGGGCTGACTGGTGGTAGAGGCTCCCGTCAGTCCGGTGAGAGTGATGGTGGTGGGATTGACGCCAGCCGAGTAGAGGGTGGCCGAGCTGATCAGAGTGACGGTGATGCAGACAGCTTGATTGGGCCCATCGTTGTTGCCTGACGCTGCCGCATAGACGAAGGCTGGAGGAGCTACGGTGCCGACGGCTCCTGCGCCTTTTCTTGTAGGGATGGGAGGGAGGTCCGTACCGAACCTCACTGAGCGATACTGGTCGAAGGGAACTTGATACACCAAGAGATCGCTCGTGCAAGGCGTCGACGGAAAGTCACTGATCGCCCTCACCGCACAGCCTCGTGAAGATCCAGATGCCTGATACACGGCCACATTCGCTAGCTGATACCAGTGCTCGTCTATCCCTCCGATGGGCGGGAGAGGGCCCAGCCCGTTCTGCTTGCCGTGAACGTCATAGTTCTGATACAAGGAGACCTTGCTGATGTACACGCCTGTGATGGGCTGGGATGAGGACATGAGGAGACGGAGCGTCTCTTTCTGTGAGTCCCAATGACACATGGAGAAGGAGTTTGCTTGGAGCTGCTTGAGATCGAAAGCATTCGACGAAAGGTCCTGGGTGATGCCAAAGCATCCTCCCACCCCCGGACCAGCCTCGAGCGAAGACTGGCTTGACACAGGGAGACCTGCTGCCCATGGCTTGGACACGCTCTCAGATATGGTGACGACTTGACCTTGCTTCATCCACATGACGCTTGTCTCTGCGCTGCCAGATCTGTATGCGCCGAAGATGTTCGATCCTCCTGAAAAGCGCGGGAGATAAACTTCGATGACGGTATCCGATGCAAGAATGTCACTCCCTTCGCTCCAAGCTCCCAGCGACCCCCAGTAGATCTTGAGGTCTGTCGCTTTGAGATCCGAGGCGCCTCCTTCCATCTGAAGCTGAGCCGTCTCAGCGACTGTGTACTTAATCCCAGACTGCGAGACGACAGCAGCATGCGCAGGACAGCTGATGGAGAGGAGGAGCAGCAAGATCGCCTGAGAAGAGGTCAGCATGGGAGCTCGTCGCGAGCAGGACAGCAGCACCTGCAGCCCAGACATGTCGGGGGGCATGGCGACCCTAGCGCAGCGCATGCGCGGGAGGGGAGGAAGGAGGCAGGATAGACCCACCCCTCTAAGTATCCGGCAGGGTGCCGTTGAAGTTTACAATACGAAGGTAAGTTGTCTACCCCTCCTTTTACCCTTGGGTTTACCACCAGACTAGGGGTAGGACTACCCCCTTGCCTCCTCTAGTTCGTGGCACCGCAGACCGCCTGATATCCAACTTATAATTCAATTTTTGTTACTTGCACTTTGATACCATCCTTCACTATTGGTAGGGTTTTCCAGTACCGGCTTCCGGTACCAAAAGGCTTTTACAGTGTATCTACGGGTAGTAACATCGTAGTAACTTCAGTCCCGCAGGATCTCCGGGCATATCAAGAGCTCTTGATATCTCTTGATATGCATCGTGACCAGGATTAAAAAGTACTTTTACAACATGTGCGCACGGACTCCACAAGCTCCGAAACGTTGCGTTCGAGCGGTTCGCGTCTGTTGCGGACTCTCCAGAGTTTGGGAATAGAATGTGTAGGTAGGGGTCAAGAAAGGAAGTGGAGATACCCCAAATTCTTTGATGACTCGAACGGGTACTATACATATGAGTAGGGTCCATGGTAAAGTGGATAACGGCGGGCGTTTGTGTGAACACAAGATGGTCTGATCGATTTCTCTACTTGAAATGTCTGTAACACGATCACATGTTTGTAACGCAACAATACAGCTTTTGAGGTATATCCACTGCACTTGTGCACATCAATTTCAAGATGATAAAGACTACGGGAATATCCACTGTTCTCCTACGCTAATCGAAAGAGACCTGCACACAAACACGCAAATCTTCTCTTCCAATCCAGACATTTAGTCATTCCTTGGTTTCATCGTTGGTTCACATTTGCCATCAGTTCTTCTTCCTGAGTAGACATCACGCAATACCATTAATCCGAAAGCCTCATCCACTCCGACTGTTACACACTTGTACATTTTATACTCTTGCAAGAACATTCCCTTCTATACATGTACAATCAGAACTGCAGCGCTTTCACACCCTTTACTACTCCCCTGTCTACCAATCAGTGCAAGAATGCTGTATCGCTATATCGCCTCCCACTCTGCATCGCTATCTCCATCAGGTGCCGGTCTGGCATGCTCAGAGACGATCGATGATCAGCCAAGCGACTCTTCGTAGACCTCATCCGCGCCTACAAGCCGGTCACTTGCCAGCAAGCAAGATGTCGCCTGGCTGCATCACCTGGTCAGCGTGGAGCTGGACTGCTTGTTTGGCTTCTCGTGTCAGCTGCGCGCTCGAGTTGACCCTCGCCCACCACTCGTCCGCCTGCTCGATCAGCAAGATAAGCCATCGCAGGCCCGGAGCTCCCAGCCCATCTCACCTCAGCCCGACGTTGACCAGCGACGGCGCTGGAGCTGGCGGCGATCGTAGGGTCTTGCCTAGCCTTCCTGCTCTTGTCTGCTTTACAAGGCTGCGGTGCCCCATACCGCGCAATGCGCTGGTCTGATGCACGGGACTCGGCACGCGCTGAGCTCGCAGACGATGTGGGGGACCTTGGAGCTTGCGGGGCTTGCGGGGCTTGGTCGTCCATGAAGCGGATCGATTTCTTCCCCACCGGAGACGGCAGGCTGGAGCTGTGCGGAGAGGGAGGCGTCGACAATCGCAGAGCTGACTTGCGTCTCCCGCCGGCCGTGAAGCTCGGCAACAAGGGAGCGTCGGGTCTTACAGGCGCTTCGGCATGGCGTTGGCTGGGCGTGTCTTCGGGCGAGCTTGCTTCTGCGGAGAGGTAGAGTCAGACTCGTCGGGCTCGGACGCTGCAAGCACTGATGACCTGACATGTCTAGTCTGATTGTCAGATGCTCCGGATGCTTCCTCGGCTGCTGCTTGTCGACGTCATTGGTCTGCAAGGACGTCACATGCTGAGGCCATGTCGAGACGTGTAACGCTACCAAGATCGGGCTGATCGCTCTCGAGACGCTTTCCACCAGCGAGCTCACGGCCATGCCAGTCATCATGGCCTTCACCAGATAGTCGCCGATGTCAGCTCCAGGCGGAGTTGTCTGCTTGGAGGCAGCGTGTGAGCGTGCGAGGGTCTGGTATGCTCGCATGAGGATGCAACGCGAGGGGTCTGTAGGACATACCTGAGAGTCGTCGCGAGCACAAGTCATTGGATGCTGTCCCCTTGCTAGCCGAGACGTCGAGTCAGCTCTGCGACCCAGTCAGAAAGCGCCCAAAGCCTGCTGCGACTCTCTTTCTTTGGGCAGTCATGGACAGTGCAGGAGGGGACTAGAGGGACTTGACAGGTCGGGCAAGCATAGGCGGTGTGGTGGGGTCTGTAGGGGAGAAAGGAACACGCGTGCGGGGAGCAGGCAGGGCCAGGGCCATGGAGTCATGGGCAGGGGCAGGGAGAATGGACAAGTAGGGCCATGCAGGTAGGACAAGGTGGAAGGATGGACTAAAAGAATGTTGATATGCAGTTGAGTAAACATCCTGCAACGGCTCTGTATGGTAATTATTGACTGTCAGCAGCTCGAAATGAAGTCTTTTTGCTGTTTTGCAGTCACGTTACGAGCTCGTGATTAGTCACGTGCTAATGAATCACTCATGGACAGAATAGGTCAAGGAGTGTGATCAAGTTGCGGTAACAATGATTCAAATTCTAAGAATCAAAATACATAGGTAGTAAGGAAGAAGAAACATTCAAATTCTTGAAATCAAGACATTCAGTCATTCCTTGGTTTCATCGTTGGTTTTCAGATATCACATTTGCCATCAGTTCTTCTTCCTGAGCAGACATCATCAAAACACATTTTCGGCGTATAGCTTATGATGAGAAAACCCATACAAGTAAAAGAGCTTTCTTTTCCAATGTTTTTCACTCATCCACTCGTTTACACACTTGTACATTTTATACTCTTGCAAGAACATTCCCTTCTATACATGTACAATCAAAACTGCAGCGCTTTCACACCCTTTACTACTCCCCTGTCTACCAATCAGTGCAAGAATACTGTATCGCTATATCGCCTCCCACTCTGCATCGCTATCTCCATCAGGTGCCGGTCTGGCATGCTCAGAGACGATCGATGATCAGCCAAGCGACTCTTCGTAGACCTCATCCGCGCCTACAAGCCGGTCACTTGCCAGCAAGCAAGATGTCGCCTGCTGCATCACCTGGTCAGCGTGGAGCTGGACTGCTTGTTTGGCTTCTCGTGTCAGCTGCGCGCTCGAGTTGACCCTTGCCCACCACTCGTCCGCCTGCTCGATCAGCAAGATAAGCCATCGCAGGCCCGGAGCTCCCAGCCCATCTCACCTCAGCCCGACGTTGACCAGCGACGGCGCTGGAGCTGGCGGCGATCGTAGGGTCTTGCCTAGCCTTCCTGCTCTTGTCTGCTTTACAAGGCTGCGGTGCCCCATACCGCGCAATGCGCTGGTCTGATGCACGGGACTCGGCACGCGCTGAGCTCGCAGACGATATGGGGGACCTTGGAGCTTGCGGGGCTTGCGGGGCTTGGTCGTCCATGAAGCGGATCGATTTCTTCCCCACCGGAGACGGCAGGCTGGAGCTGTGCGGAGAGGGAGGCGTCGACAATCGCAGAGCTGACTTGCGTCTCCCGCCGGCCGTGAAGCTCGGCAACAAGGGAGCGTCGGGTCTTACAGCCGCTTCGGCATGGCGTTGGCTGGGCGTGTCTTCGGGCGAGCTTGCTTCTGCGGAGAGGTAGAGTCAGACTCGTCGGGCTCGGACGCTGCAAGCACTGATGACCTGACATGTCTAGTCTGATTGTCAGATGCTCCGGATGCTTCCTCGGCTGCTGCTTGTCGACGTCATTGGTCTGCAAGGACGTCACATGCTGAGGCCATGTCGAGATGTGTAACGCTACCAAGATCGGGCTGATCGCTCTCGAGACGCTTTCCACCAGCGAGCTCACGGCCATGCCAGTCATCATGGCCTTCACCAGATAGTCGCCGATGTCAGCTCCAGGCGGAGTTGTCTGCTTGGAGGCAGCGTGTGAGCGTGCGAGGGTCTGGTATGCTCGCATGAGGATGCAACGCGAGGGGTCTGTAGGACATACCTGAGAGTCGTCGCGAGCACAAGTCATTGGATGCTGTGGCTGAGGGGCAAGCAGTGTCGTGGGTTCTGCGGCAGAGCGAGGAACACGCGTTCTAGGGTTAAACTGGAGAGGAGGGGGAAGGGGTAAAGATATCAGTCTCGTGCTAGCTAGAACCTGGTAGGGTAGGGCCATAGGACCAAAGTAGCTTCCCTCACACGACCCTGGATTGATATCTTGTTTCGGTTGAGTGAAGCTTCTGGTACGAGATGGTCATTGAAAGGTGGTCCACGTGATCAAGATCGAAAAGACGTCTCTTGGCAATAAAGTAGCCGCCATCTCGTGATTGATGACACCGCGGGGGCCGAATCGGCCGGTAGAGGCGGAAGGGGCGACATATCAGTGGATCATTGAGTAAATCTTCTGGTACTTGATGGTCATTTTAAAGAAGGCCTATACCAAAGCGGAAGTAACTGGGCCTGGTGGGGGCAGAAAGCCGGATACTAGTTGTAACGGTAGTAACGAAGTTGCGCTGCAGCGAAGTCAGCAGGGAGAGAGATCTGATGTAGCGGGTAAGTAGGCGAGAGAGGTAGGAAGAGAGCGAGCTGTCACAGGTACGATTTGCACGAGTGATGGAATGATGTACAAGAGGAGGCCCATGGCATGATCTCACTCCATGATAGCTGTGAGAGACCTACAAGACAAGGTGGTCGACAACTCTGTTCCATCTGTTGTAAGATTTTGCTGAAGAATGCTCAAGTCAGTCAGAATCATCCGAAGTGAACTGACTAGAGATTTCAATTTGACTTGGACTGTGTTGAAGGGTCTGATCTTGGATTGAAATGTCAGCTGTTCAAATCCAAACCTGATCTTCAATCTTGAAGGTACGAGGGCGACATCGCTAGTTAAGCTGTTGCTCTGTTGATCCAGCAGTGAGACAAATGACATCGCCTGTTGCATGTGCACCAGACATCCATATCTTCATGATTGCGTCAGGGTCTCTTCAGATGGATATGTCGGCGGGAGAGGAAACTTAACGCTTCTCACGTAGAGAAGCTCGAATGGAGCACAGCCGGTAGATCGCTTGACGGATTTGCCATGTCATCAACCTAGAGGGAGAAGACGATCCAGATCATATCTTTGTTTGTTAACACAAGCGCGGAGAGATTCGATGAGCGCAGAGTGGTTACTTGCACAAGGTGGTGCTGGAAATGAGGACATGTTTTGACCTGCAAGAGCACAAAAAATATCTTTCTGGTAGACAGAAGTGAAGATCTGACATTATCTCGAATGATCCAACCTTCCAACAGCGTAAGAGCATTGAGCTTTTTTCAGAGCTCTGCCAAGGTCAGCTCAAGCCTCCGCAGGAACGAATAGTATTGAGCAGGAGTTGGCAGGAAGAGAAGCTACGGTCTTCTCGTACAGCCATGAAGGCAGCAAGGGCTCTAACGGCTACTGGGGCTCTGAAGTCGACCCCTGTTGGACGACAGAGTGTGCAAATTACGGGAGGTATCTGCTGTACCGGTACGATTGGATGAACCTCGAGGAGCAGGCAGCAGATCTAAGCGGACGCACGAGGGATGCTCGCTCGTGCGGGAGGAGCCTCACCACCCCTGGTGGTTCCCCTCGACTATAAAAGGATCGTCAACAACTGCTAAGGTGGTCTGTCCTTTCCCTTGCTGTGTGTGCAATGAATTGATAGTGTGTTGGTGTTATCAAATAAACTTCATGTCTCTACTCTTCACCTTTGTGTGTCAACCTGCGGAGATGCCTTGAGCATTTGCTGTAGACGTCTGCGACCCGTGAAGCTTCGAGGCGTAACAGATTTGAACTTAGCAAGCAGATTGTCTCGTTCAATCCGTGCTCGATTTAATTGAGAGAACCACACAAAACAGCCTACTCTTGCTAACAACGACCCCTGTCATCTCTGCTAACTTAGCGCTAACAAACCGAGCTTTTCCACCCTTTACTACTCCCCTGTCTACCAATCAGTGCAAGAATGCTGTATCGCTATATCGCCTCCCACTCTGCATCGCTATCTCCATCAGGTGCCGGTCTGGCATGCTCAGAGACGATCGATGATCAGCCAAGCGACTCTTCGTAGACCTCATCCGCGCCTACAAGCCGGTCACTTGCCAGCAAGCAAGATGTCGCCTGCTGCATCACCTGGTCAGCGTGGAGCTGGACTGCTTGTTTGGCTTCTCGTGTCAGCTGCGCGCTCGAGTTGACCCTCGCCCACCACTCGTCCGCCTGCTCGATCAGCAAGATAAGCCATCGCAGGCCCGGAGCTCCCAGCCCATCTCACCTCAGCCCGACGTTGACCAGCGACGGCGCTGGAGCTGGCGGCGATCGTAGGGTCTTGCCTAGCCTTCCTGCTCTTGTCTGCTTTACAAGGCTGCGGTGCCCCATACCGCGCAATGCGCTGGTCTGATGCACGGGACTCGGCACACGCTGAGCTCGCAGACGATATGGGGGACCTTGGAGCTTGCGGGGCTTGCGGGGCTTGGTCGTCCATGAAGCGGATCGATTTCTTCCCCACCGGAGACGGCAGGCTGGAGCTGTGCGGAGAGGGAGGCGTCGACAATCGCAGAGCTGACTTGCGTCTCCCGCCGGCCGTGAAGCTCGGCAACAAGGGAGCGTCGGGTCTTACAGGCGCTTCGGCATGGCGTTGGCTGGGCGTGTCTTCGGGCGAGCTTGCTTCTGCGGAGAGGTAGAGTCAGACTCGTCGGGCTCGGACGCTGCAAGCACTGATGACCTGACATGTCTAGTCTGAGATCGGGATGCTTCCTCGGCTGCTGCTTGTCGACGTCATTGGTCTGCAAGGACGTCACATGCTGAGGCCATGTCGAGACGTGTAACGCTACCAAGATCGGGCTGATCGCTCTCGAGACGCTTTCCACCAGCGAGCTCATAGCGATGTTCTGTACATGGCTAGTAAGCTATTCATGACATTGCACGGCCATGCCAGTCATCATGGCCTTCACCAGATAGTCGCCGATGTCAGCTCCAGGCAGAGTTGTCTGCTTGGAGGCAGCGTGTGAGCGTGCGAGGCTCTGGTATGCTCGCATGAGGATGCAACGCGAGGGGTCTGGAGGACATACCTGAGAGTCGTCGCGAGCACAAGTCATTGGATGCTGTCCCCTAGCTGCTAGCCGAGACGTCGAGTCAGCTCTGCGACCCAGTCAGAAAGCGGCCAGAGCCTGCTGCGACTCTCTGTCTTTGGACAGTCATGGGCAGTACGGGAGGGGACTAGAGGGACTTGACAGGTCGGGCAAGCATAGGCTGTGAGGTGGGGTCTGTAGGGGCGTGCGGGGAGCAGGCAGGGAGCGAGGAACACGCGTGCGGGGAGCAGGCAGGGAGCGAGGAACACGCGTGCGGGGAGCAGGCAGGGGTAGAACAGGGAGGAGGGGCAGAGAGAGAGACAGGGGCAGGGGAAGAGAGGGACAGGGACAAGCTGCCGCGAGGAGAGGAGACTTGAAAAGTTTCAAACGTAAAGTCCTACGGGAGGTTGTCAGCTAGGACCCGTAGTATGACCCACGTCTTAGATTGATATCTTGCTGCGGTTGAGTAAAGCTTCTGGTACTGAGATGACGGTCAAAAGTCAACTCGCGGAGCCCTCGTGACATTTTTACCACAGCCGAGCCGAGCTTCGGCGCTTGATATGACATGTCGGTTACAGAGCGTAACGGAGAATGGGGTAGGGCCAGTGAAGACCATGATATCCGGTGTGCCAGCCAGACAGCGGTAGAGAATTAGCTGAGGTGATTAAAGGGAGTTATTGTTATTAAGGGGGGGTTAATGTTATTAAGGGGGGTTAATGTTATTTAGAGGGTTTATTAAGGGGAGTTAGCCTGTGTTATTAATAGTAAGAGGAGTTTGTTAATGTTATTAAGAGGAGTCTGCTATTAAGGGGAGTCAATGCTATTAAGACGAGGTTTAAGAGGAGTTAGGGTTTTACTATGACCGTACGGGCAACAACCAACCATCAGATCGGAAACATGATCCGCCGCACGTTTGTTTCATCAGGGCAGGCTTGTGTCTCAACATATAACTGCGTCAGTTGCCTCCTCTGTTGGGACGGCGAAGGTAAGTGAAGGTATCTGTCTTTTCTCTTCTCACCGTATGGCCTGCGCGACCGTAGAGTGTGGCAGGGTCAAGCCTCCTCTACTGAGTCTCCTGATTGTCGGCGGTCCACGTACTGATCGCTTGGGACACATACTGGGGGGCGGAAGGATCCAGGGCGCCGGTGACCGTGCCTGAGTACCTCTACCCGGCCCGGGTGTCCCGGGGCCCGGCGAGTGCGTTCCGAGTTCGGCGACTGACAGTCAGTTCATCACGTCTGTGCAAGACTGGGACTGGGAGAGTCGTGAACCGTGCGGAAGGACGTCGAGACTAGTTCAAGGTTCTCGTTCCGAAGTCCACCTGGATCTTTGGACAGTGTAGAGTACCAGCTCAGTATCAAGCGCTCATGCCTGGCCTTTTCGATTCCCTCTGCCTCCGAGCCTCTGCAAGGCCCTTGAATGCTCATCAGCGCCTCGCATGCTCGCTCCTGTATCTCCTGGCTGGCATTACAGCCTCCATGCCTCCTGTCTTTCCGATCTTGTCCCTGATCTCGTCGTAGCTAGCAAGGAGCGCATGTCAGTGTATTTGGGAGACTCCATCATGCCCTCAGTCTACATGCCGTCAGTCTTCATGCCTTCAGTCTACATGCCGTCAGTCTACATGCCGTCAGTCTTCATGGCGTCAGTCTTCATGGCGTCAGTCTACATGGCTTCAGTCTTCATGCCGTCAGTCTTCATGCACCGTCAGTCTTCATGCCATCAGTCTTCATGCCGTCAGTCTACATGCCATCAGTCTTCATGCCGTCAGTCTACATGCCGTCAGTCTTCATGGCGTCAGTCTACATGGCTTCAGTCTTCATGCCGTCAGTCTTCATGCACCGTCAGTCTTCATGCCGTCAGTCTACATGCCATCAGTCTTCATGCCGTCAGTCTTCATGGCGTCAGTCTACATGGCTTCAGTCTTCATGCCGTCAGTCTTCATGCACCGTCAGTCTTCATGCCTTTGGTCTTCATGCCGTCAGTCTACATGCCATCAGTCTTCATGCCGTCAGTCTTCATGCACCGTCAGTCTTCATGCCGTCAGTCTACATGCCATCAGTCTTCATGCCGTCAGTCTTCATGGCGTCAGTCTACATGCCATCAGTCTTCATGCCGTCAGTCTACATGCCGTCAGTCTTCATGGCGTCAGTCTACATGGCTTCAGTCTTCATGCCGTCAGTCTTCATGCACCGTCAGTCTTCATGCCGTCAGTCTACATGCCATCAGTCTTCATGCCGTCAGTCTACATGGCGTCAGTCTACATGCCATCAGTCTTCATGGCGTCAGTCTACATGCCATCAGTCTTCATGGCTTCCTGTACCTTGTTGCAGGTAGCGAAGTCGTGCATGGCTGTCAATACGATCGCCTGATTCCACCTTTCTCAAGAAGTTGTCGTCTGATCTTGCTGCCTTGTCCTCTCAGACCAGCTCTGCAGCTCGTTGCATGCTTTTTCCTTTATAGCCACACCCCACTGGATCGATGGTCCTTGCCAGCTGGGTGATAGCAAATATTCCTCCCTCCTTGATTGGCTTCGTTGCACCTCCGGCTGATGAGAGATCAGCATCGTGTACGCCTCATCATGATCTCCGCCATCGCCGGAGCCATCGACTCTCCTTCTCTCTTTTCTCTTCTCTCCCTTGACTCGCGTCTCGTACTCGTTTCCCTTCCGTTCCTTCCACGTACGGTCACCACCTGGCTCGACTCCCGGCCCAGCATCATTGATACAGGCATCAGATGATAGATGATACAACTACTTGTTCTCCGTGCTCTCGTAGCAGCTTCTCAGCGGAGTACGATGATGCCCAACTTGTGACTGGACCGTCAGCTCAACGGTCAGAGTTGGGCCGAAAGGCAAACTGCGAAGCCGAGTGGCGACTCTCGTTACCGCTACTCAGACCGTACCGTACTGTCTCGGCCAACTCAGTCGCCAACGAGTGGGCGCATTGTGACTTTAGTCTCTTTGTAGTTCCTTCGACTCTCTGACCCGTCAACAGCGTCGCGAGAGTGCTCAGTGCTCCTGGAGTCACACTGATCAGAGGCTCCGGGCCTGAGACCGGTTCCGATGATCAAGGAATGAACTAAAATCACACTCGTAATCATCACAACACACCAAGTTAAGCATTTCAGCCAAGTTAAGCATTTCAGCTTACTGTCATCACGTCACTCCGACACTGCCGGGTCAGCATCATGGCACGGCATCCAGTCACAGTAGACCGTACGGTCTGGAGCTCCGCTTGAACAAACACGCAACAGTACCGTCGTGAACTTCTCAAGTGACAGTCACGCGGTGCTCAGTCTGGGCCTCACTGAGTCTGTCACCGGGTCGGGACACTGAGGCTCCGGGCCCTGATCCGGCGGGCCCGGCGACTCCCGGGCCCGAGGGTGACTTTCAGAAATGATATGGACAGAGCACCGGTGGCTGGCATATCTTTGGAACACCCTACCTATGTAGATATGCACGATTGCAGGCGCAATCATGGGGTACTCTGGCACAATGGTGGTACTACCCACCTACTTTACAGGACCGTTGCGTGTAATTCGGAAGAACCGATTGTAAAAAGGAGAAGGAGGGGTGAAACAATGGGGATAAAGGGGGGTGGTGTTTTAAAGGGGCGTGGCGCGTTGTAAAGAAATGATGGGGTTGTATGTCTAGGGGGTAGTCAACAACAATAGAAAGGGTGGGGGTACTTTATGTGATTGGGGGGGGTGTACGGCGAAGGATGTATCAGTGAGGGGGGTGGCTTTAGGTAGGGTGGTACGGATATGGCAACAAAGAGATGTGAGGAGGGAGAGGAGAGGAGAGGAGAGGAGAGGAGAGGAGAGGAGAGAGGAGAGGAGAAGGAGAGGAGAGGAGAGGAGAGGAGAGGAGAGGAGAGGGAGGAGAGGA